ATCCATTTCCGTAGCCGACGGCGACGACCGACCGACCGACGCGCGCTCGCGACGACCGGACGCATCGCTCACTCTACGCCGCGCGTCCGACCCGGTTCTTCTTCTTCTATTATTTATCTTTTACCTTTTTATCTTTGATCTCGCGCTCACCCGCTACTTCGATCGTGCGTTGTGAATGACCTTACGCGAAGCGCGAGGGCGGAGAGTTCGAGGAGTACGACGCCGCGTTGGAAGGCGACGACGACGACGACGACGTCGACATCGGCGACGTCGAGCGCGATCGGTTCGCGTTCGATAACGTCTCGAAGAGCATGATGCTGCCCCCGGAACTCATGAACGCGGTCCCGGGGCAGCCGCTGGGGGGTGGGGACGCGCCCGCGAAGAAGCGGACGTCGACGCGGAAAAAGGCGGGAACGAAGCTGTGACGCGTCGTCGTCGTCGTCGTCGTCGTCACGAGTATAAGTATACGTACTCGCGCGCGTGGTGTAACTAACGAAAGACGTCTGTCTCCGATAAGAATCGAGTCGCGCTACTTTCCCAGCTAGGCACTACGCGTACTCTCCTCCGCCCATCTATCTCAGCTCGTCGCGCGGCGGCGGCGGCGGCGATCGGCGCCGCCGCTCCGCGAGGTTGAACCAGTGATTCGCCGCCCACTTCGTCCCCCCCGTCACTTCGCACGCGGCGTGCATCGCGTTGGCGTCCACCCGGCCGTTGACGCCAAAATTATAAAAAAAAATTGCGTCGCCGGGGACCGGGGCGGCTCTCACGCCGCCCTCGCACGCGGCGGTGACGTTCCCCGCGGTCGCGACGACCGTCCCTTCCCCGGTCCCCTCGCCGTGCGGACCGAGCGGGAACGCCGTGTGCCCGCCGTTGCCCTCGCCCGGGCCGGAGAGGTAGTACAACACCGTCGCGAATCGACGCAGAAAAGCCGTGCTCTCGTGGTGCACGTCGAAGTAGCCGCCTTTCTCGTACCTCAACACCTGCACGCGCTCCTCCGCGGCGGCGACGTCCGCGGAGAGGTTCAGCAGCGCGGTCGCTCGCGTCGACAACGCCTCTAACGCGTCGTCGCCGTGCGTTACCAGCCACGCCGTCTCGCTCTTTCGGCGCCGCGTCGGCCCGGCCTTCCCGCCGTCCGCGACGGTCCGGCTCTCTCGCATCTCCGGCGCCGCCTTTCGAATCACCGCCTCTCTCTCCCGCTCCGTCACGAAACCCTCGACTCGAAACACCGGCGGCGTCACGGAGATCGTCCGCACGGTCAGCTCGCGGCCGTCCGGCGAGATCCACGGCTTAGTCTCGCCCACTTCCGTCGCGCGAATCTGAAAGATTCCCGCGGGCGCGTTCGCCGCCGCGTCGCCCGCGGCGAGCGTCTCCGCGGTCTTGAACCGCAACGCCGCCTCGATATCCTGCCCCAGGTGCTGCAGCACGTTCCCGAGCAGGTGATGCGACTTGGCGTGGTCGGGGCGCAGCCTCACCGCCTCGCGAGCGTGCGTTAACGCGTCCTCGTGAGATCCGACGTCCTCGGAGAGAAGGTTCGCGAGGTTGACGCGCGCCTCCGCGTGCGACGGGTCGAGCTCTGTCGCGCGTTTGAAGTGCGCGCGCGACGCGTCGACGTTCCCGCGCTGGTAGAGAATGCCCCCGGCGTTCGTGCGCAGGATCGCCTCCGCTTTCGCGCTCAGGTGCGGTCGCGCGGAGGCGTCCGCGAGGATGGCTTCGTACTCGCGCAGCGCATCTGAGGCGTCTCCGCGCTCGTGCGTCGCGAGCGCGTTCTGGAAGGCGCGCACGAGGCGCGCGCGGTCGTCGTCCGAGGAGGACGCGCGCGCGTTCGTCGATACGCAGAGGAGGAGGAGGAGGACGACGCGGAGCGGCGCCCTCATGGCGCGCGCGTTCGAGGTTTCGCAGGTTCCGTCGAACGAATTAATATTTTAGTTGTTTGCCACGTGTACACGTACTCCTAAGGTCTCGCGCTACAGTGCGTGTACAGACGGACCGCGGTCAATACAGCAGGAACTCGCGTCGGGCCTCGTAAAACGCCGCCGCCTCGTCGTCCCAGCTCGCGAACAGCGCGTCCAACGCCCCCGGATCGTCCTCGTCGCCCTCCGCCGCCGCCGCGTCGATCGCTCTCCGCGCCGCGCCGCTCCCCGTCAAGACGTCGACGAAATACGCGCCGCCGCCGTCGTCGTCGTCGTCGTCGTCGTCGTCCTTCGCCGCCGCCGCCGCCGCCGCGCCGACCGCGTCTCCGCGCCGCCGCCACGCGAAGGCTCCCGGATACGTCCGCTTCCACGCCAGCAGCAGCTCGACGCCCTCGCGGAACAGCGCCGCGTTCGGACTGACGAGGGCGATCGATTCAACGTAGTGACAAATAAAAGTTCATTCGTCGGTCAGTTGAAAGGGGGATCGATCGAGTGTCTGGTATCTGGTTGAAACGACGGGGTGCTCGATGGGTGAAAAACGAAACGTGAGAATGAACGAACGCACCCGACCGGGAAACTCTGCACGCCGGTCATGACTCGCCCGGCGTGCGGCCCGCTCGTCGGCACGAAGTGCGCCTCGCGATACCTCGCCGCGGGCACCCGCGCGCGAGCCATCGCCGTCGCCGTCGCCGTCGCCGTCGTCGTCGTCGTCGCCGTCGCCGTCGTCGTCGCCATCGCCGTCGTCGTGTCGTCGTCGCCGCCGCCGCCCCTCGCGGCGCGGTCGCGGTCGCGCAGCCGCGCCGAGAGCCTCCCATCCGCGAACGCCGCTCCGACGAGCTCGAACGGCTTCGTCGTCCCTCTGCCTTCGCTGACGTCCGCCGCGCCCTCGAACAGGGCGTTCCCGACGTACGCCAGCGCGGTGCTCGGCGTCGGCACGTTCGGGCTCGGCGGGATCCACGGCAGCTTGGTCTCCTCCCACGTCATTCCTCGCCGCCAGCCGCGCATCGGGACGATCGTTAAACGCGCCGGCTTTTTCGACGCGTCGGGGTGGAGTTGATAGGCGTCAGATGGAGTTGAAAGGCGTCGAGGGCGGGGATTGAAAGCGAGGGGTGGGCGGAGAGAGACGACGGCAAAAGTCCTTAAGGATCGGCGTTCACCACGCCGACGCGGTCGTATGGGGACCAGTGTACAGAACGCACCTTTCCTGCGTCGCCGCCGACGTGCTCACGGTTGAACATCCACGCGAGCTCCGCGACCGTCATCCCGTGCCGCACCGCGATCGGCGAGACGCGCGCGAGGAACCCGCCGACGAGATTCGCGTCCACGATCGCGGGGCCCTCGACGACGGCGCCGCCGAGCGGGTTGGGTCGGTCAAGGATCACGATCTCCGGCGCCGCGTCGCCCATCGACGCGGACGCGACCATGACGTCGTAGAGCGTCCAGACGTACGTGTAGAACCGCGCGCCGACGTCTTGGACGTCGAACGCGATGACGTCGACGCCCGCGCGGGCGATGACGTCGGACAGCGCGGGTCCGCGCACGCCGTAGAGGTCGTACACGGGGACGCCCGTCGCGGCGTCGACGGAGACGGGGACCGACGATGACGCGTCCGCGTCGTCGCGCCGCGCACCGCTGCCGGATTCGCCCGCCTGCGCGGCGCCGCGGAAGCCGTGCTCGGGCGCGAACACCGCACGGAGATCCACCGCGCCGTCCGACGCGCGCATGACGTCCACGGCGTGTTCCAACGACCGCGGCATCACCGCGGTGTGGTTCGTCACGAGCCCCACGCGCTTCCCCCTGAGGGGCGTTTGTCGGGGTGGAGTTCAAAGGCGTCAGGTGGAGTTGAAAGGCGTCGCGGTCGGGGATTGAAAGCGAGGGGTGGGCGGAGAGACGCGCCGGGAAAAGTCCTTAAGGATCGGCGTTCACCACGCGGACGCGGTCGTATGGGGACCAGTGTATAGAACGCACCTGAAGACGCGCCATTCTTCGTCGCGCGCCACCTCGAGGCCGACGCGGACGCCGTCGTCGCCGTCGTCGCCGTCCGCGCGACGACGCGCCCTCTCCCTCCGCCGCGCGAAGACGGCGCCCGCGATCGCTCCGAAGACGAACGCCGCGGCGGACGCGAGAGGACGACGCGCCATCGTCCGCGCCGCCGCGCGCATGGCGTCCGTCGCGGCGACGCGTCGAGTGATGAGATTTGTCTGTCGGCACCTCCGAGACCGACTTTTTTTCCGCGCGAGAGGGGAAAGAACGACGCGCGGCGCGGCCATTCCTCGGACGCGCCGTCGGTCGCGCAGGATGAACCCGCTCTTCGCGCGGATGCGAGCCGCGGGGATGGTGAACGACCCCGGAGGAGGACATCCCCCGGTGCGACCCGGGATGGCGCGTCACGTCTCTCCGCGTCGTCGCGCGCGCGCCGCGTCGTCGCGTCCGTCGCGTCGTCGAGCGTTTCTTCCCCATTTCGTTCGTTCCGTCGCGCGCCCTCTTCCCGAACTCACGTCGCGACTCATCTCTCATCCACCCCGTCTCGTCCCCGCCGCCTCGCTCTCCTCCCCGCAGAACCGACCGCCGTCCGGGGGCTCGCATAACCCGCACCCCGGATCGGGACCCCCGAGCGCGCGCCCGCCCAGCGGCGGCGGCGGCGTCGCGCCGCGTCGATGGGACCCCGGCCCGGGTCCCGGCGGTCCGATGGGTCCGACGGGTCCGACGGGTCCGACGGGTCCGATGGGTCCGATGGGTCCCACGCCGCGGCACCCCGGGTTCGGCGGCGGCGGCCCGCACGCGCACGCGCACGCGCACGCGCCGCCGCCGCCGCACGCGCTGAACCAGAACCGCCCGCCGTCGAGCGTCGGCTTCGGCGGGTTCGACAGCGGAAACGGAGGAGGAGGTCCGACGTATCGCACCCCGGGAATGATGGGACAGGGAATCGGATATGAGGGACCGGGGACGGGAGGAGGCGCGCCGGGGTCGGGATACGTCACGCCAAACGATTTCGGTGCGCACCCCGCGCCCCCACCGCCGAGCGGACCGGGGACCGGGATGGGGGCCGGACCGGAGATGGGGATGGGGATGGGGATGGGGATGGGGACGGAGATGGGGATGCAGCCGCACCGACCAAACGGCGGCGGCTCCCGAACGAGCGCCGGCGCCGGCCCGTCCTACGACGTCGTGCACATGACCGCTCGGAACGCGCGTCTGGAGGAAAAACTCTCGAAAGCGCTCGCGAAGAACCGCTCGATGGCCAAGTACTACGACCAGCTCCTCGCGAAGACGCGCGACGCCGCGGAGAGGGAGCTGGAAGAGGTGAAACGCGAGGCGCAGCGCATGTCCGTCGAGCTCGGAGCTGCGGGGAGCGTCCACGACCAACTCTCGAGGGAACGCGAGGAGCGGACCGTCGTGCAGCGCGAGCTCGCGGAGATTCGCGCCAAGTACAACGCCGCGGAGAGTCGCAGGCGGGAGGAGTGCGAGGAGCTCGAGAACAAGCTCGCGGGAGCGAAGGAGAAGCTGAGCGCGAGAGACGCGGAGTGCTCGCACTTGAAGGCGCGTTCTAGTATCACGCCGGTCCCCATACGACCCCGTTCGCGTGGTGGACGCCGTTCCTTGAGGACTTTCTCTCCCGGCGTTTCTGTCTGCCCACCACCCCTCGCTTTCAACGAACGACGCTCGACCTCGACGCCTTTCAACTCCACCCCTGACGCCTTTCAACTCCACCCCGACGTCGCCTCGCGCGGAACCTCGACCCCGAAGGCGCAACTGGAAGGCGCGCGGTCCGCGGCGGCGGCGGGGGGCGCAGGGACCGCGGCGGCGATGCAGCACGCGCACGCGTACGACCCGAACCACGCGGCGACGGCGTCGCAAATGCAGCGACTGCTCGACCAGGCGAGGGAGGAGCGAAACAACGAGCGAGCGGCGGCGGTGCAGAGAGACGCGGAGATGGCGCGGCAGCTGAACGACATCAAAGAGCAGGCGTTGGAACGCATCCGCGAGAGCACGAACGCGGCGAAGGAAGTCGCGGCGCTGAAAGAGCGGCTCCACGCCGCGCAGCACGAGCGGGACATGTTGCGGGATAAGAACGAAGAGCTGTTCGGGGACGAGAACGAGCGCAGGGAGCTGCGACGGCGGTTGGTCGCCGCGGAGAAGACGGCGGCGGCGGCGCGAGAAAAGGCGGACCGGTGCGACGTCACCGACGCGAAACTTCGAGCCGCGGAGGCGGAGAAAGGGACGCTCGCGGCCGAGCGCGCGGACGCGCACAAGCGCCTCCAGGAGATGACCGAGCGGTTGCTTCAAGTCACCACGGAGAAGGACGTTCTCGTGCGGCACAGCGCGCATCAAGTGCACGTCGAAGCGGAGCTCGCCAACGCGCGACGCGAGTTGGAACGTCTCCAACGCGGCCACCTCGCGACCAAGACGAGCAAAAGAGAAGAGACCGCGGAGTGGCGCGAAGCCGCGGACGGGTTAGGACGCGTGCTGCGGCACCACATCTACGGCCACACGCGATGGGAACGCGCGATGGCGGACGAGGTGCACACCGCCGCGGAGGCGCACGCGATGACGCAACGCGGCACGGTGCGACTCGTCGCGGAGGCGGAGGCGGAAGCCGCCGCGCTCGCGGGCGAAGCCATCGAGGTCGTCCGAACGACGCGACGGCTCCTGGACGAGTACGGCGTCGAGTGCGGGCAGATCATCGCGGAGATCGCCGCCGAGCACGAACGGCGCGCGGACGACCGCGTGAAGGTTGCGCTGGAGTTGTTACGCGAAGCGGAGGAAAAATTGGAGGCGGCGGATAAACGCGCGGATCGCCACGCCGCGGAAGCTCGACGCGCGAGATCTGCGGCGGAACGCGCGGGGTTGATGCCGAACGCGCTGACGGAGTTGCGACGACGCGCGGACGCCGCGAGCGCGTCGTCGCCGTACGCGTATCCGAAGACGACGACCCCGGAGCGCGGCGCGTCCGACGACGACGACGACGACGACGACGACGACGACGAAGAGAAGAAAATGAAACCGTGGGGCCCCGCGGACGAAGCGCTCACGAAAAAGCTCCGCGTCGCGCAGTTCCAGCTCCTCGGCGCGGCGATGATGCGCAAGGCGACGATGGAAGAGCGCGCGGAAGGCAACGAGCTCTTACATCAGCAGCTTCTCCTCGCGCGACGCGAGGCTGCGGTCGCCGTCGCTGTCGCGGAGGGACACGAACGCGCGCTCGTCGCGAAGGGCTCGGACGTTCGGTGGGGTCTCCTCGCCGCGGCGGCGCTTCGCAGGGCGGACAAAGAGCGCAGAGGGAACATGGAAGCCGTCGAGTACGCGCTCAACCAGAAGACGCTGCAGCTGCAGATGGCGACGACGGAGAGGGAGCAGTTCCGCGAGGCGCTGGCGTCGCGCGACGCCGAGTTGCACCACGTCCGCGGCGTGCTCTCCGGGTTGAAATCCGAACACGACGCGGCGCTGCGACGGTTACAAAACGAGCGCGGTCTGCGGAACGAGCTCAGCGACATGGTCAAGCACGAGGGCGGGCGCGTCGACGCGGAAGTGTCCATCGCGGAGGTGCAAGAGACGCTGAGCGAGCTCGCGGAGGCGACGTCCGTCGCCGCCGCCGTCGCGCGCGCCGCCGGCTTCGGCCTCGGATCGGACGACGACGAAACCCTGCGCCGCGATGATACCCCCGAGGACGCGTCCGCGGCGAAATCGCTCGCGGACGACCTTCAAGCGACGCGCGACGCGCTCCTGCTCATGCGCGCGGAGGACGAGGACGCGGAGAGGGATGAGCGCGCGGCGCGCGCGTCCATGGGGGCGCTCGCGTTGAAGCCGTCGAGCGAATTCGAGACGACGATTCGAAACGTTCGACGACACGCGCTCGAGGTCAAATCCGAGTGCCTCGCCGCGCTCGTGGACGGGCTCGAGCACCGCCGCGAGATCGAAAAGCTGCGGTCAATACTTCTCGACAGAGACGGGCAGCTCTCGCGCGTGAGAGGCGGCGTCGTCGCGACGAAGCTGCGCGGGGTGCTGGAGCAAGCGAAGACGCGCGCGGGCGCCGTCGAGGAGAAGAAGTCGTTGGCGGTGGGTCGCTGGGGCGCGGGGTTCGCGAAGAGCAAGGAAGACGCCGCGCGCGAGGCGCTCGAGCGCGAGAACTCGAGATTGGTGGAGCGCGAAAACTCGCCGGCGTCGCCCAAGACGACGTCGAGGAGGCCCAGTCGCGGCGGCGACCGACCGGCGTCCGCGCGTTCGACCGGCGCCGGCGACGAAAACGGAAACGGTGGCGGCGGCGGCGGCAAGAGGATGAGCCCGCCCGGAGGCGCGAGCTCGTACAGCCAGATGATGCGCGAACGCAGACGACGAAACAAGGAAGCCGCGGCCGCGGAGGCGATTCGAGCGGACGCCGGCGGCGGTTGGGACGATGGCCCCGCGACGGCGATGACGAGCAAGCCGAAGCTCGCGCGGACGCCGCTCAAGTCGCGGACGCCGGGCAACCCGACGCGCGGCGGCGGCGGCGGCGGCGGGAGCGTTCGGTCGTCCACGAAGTCGCTGCGGAAGAAGTCGACGACCGCGCTGACGCGCGCGACGCAGCTGTGGTGAGCCATGCGTTTATTTAATAGTTTACGTTAGGTATCTGATAAGGGTAATAAGTAAGGGTAATTAAAGATGTTGATCATCGCGTCGTCGCGCGCGCGGGCGTCCCTCTACTCGTCGTCGTCGTCGTCGTCGTCGTCGTACTGATTCGGACTCTGCATCTTCGGCATCCTCGTCTGCGTCGACTGCCGCGTCAACTTCGGCTTCGAAGCCGCGGACCCCGCCCCAAGGCCCCCTCCCCGCGCACCCTCCGCGGCCCTCTTCCGCGACCACGCGTCCACGTAGTGCGCGAACGCGACGACGACGACGGTGATGTCGTCCGCGACGCCGCCTTCAAACTTTTTCCACCGCTCGCTCGCCATCTTCACCAGCGCCTGCGCCGCGTCGTCCGGGGCGTCGCACTGGCTCGCCCGCTCCACCGCCTCCTCGTTCGTGACAAACTCCCACAGCCCGTCGCTCGCGACGATGAGGAACCGATCGTCCTCACTGAACGCGTGCGCGCGCGTGTCCGGCTCGGCGACGACGCCGACGGCGGCCGCCACGGAGTCGCCCAACGCTCGGCTCATCGCCAGTCCCGGGGTCATCTCGTTCTCGACCCACACGCGGTACGGTCCGACGTCCACGCCGCGGTCTTGAAGCTTCATGACGCGCCCGCCCGCGCGCTCGATCCGCGAGCGCTCCTTCGCGTCGTCGGGTTTGTGATCCGTCGTCAGCGACACCGCCTCGACGGTTTCCTCGTCGTCGACCCATCGCCCGAGGACCGCGCGCGAGTCCCCCGCCCACGCGGTCGTGAGCTGGTCGTCTCGTAGGAGACACGCGACCGCGGTGGAGCCGCTCATGGAGACGTCGATCACGCCCTTGGCGCGCTTCAGCTCCGCGTCCGTCTCTACGAACGCCTCGCGCAGCGCGCTCGCGGCGTCGCCGTTTTTGAGATGGCCTTTTCGGTCCGCGTGCACGAGCGCGGGGACGCGCGCTCGTGCGAGCCCGCTCACGAGGTGCCCCTGCGGCCCGTGCCCGTCGAACACCGCGAACAGACCCCCGCGCTGGCCCAAGAACTCCGGCTGCGCGAGGTACGCGTCCTGATTCACCTTGCTCCCGGGGCCTCGTCTCCCGGGCTCCGTCCCCGCTTTCGTCGCGCACGCGACGACGAGCTGCGCGAGCGGCGGCGGCGCGTGGTCGTCCTCGAACCGGTCCTCGAACGTGAGCTCGCGCGTGCCTCGGCCGTGGCCGCCGTGGAGACGCGGCGTGCGCACCGCGTAGGCGACCTCGTCCTCGTCCGAGGGGGGAAGCGGGTCGATCGTGGACTCCTTCAGGATGCCGCCGATGCGGCCGACTTTCGACACCTCGAGCGTCTTGCGCTCCGCGTCGACGTCGCGCTGGACGATCGTCAGCCGGCGCTGCATCGGCGTCGGGCGGCCGGGGGAGGTGTCATCGCGGCCGGACGAGCTCGCCTTCGCGTTCGGGTCGTGGGTCGCGGCGCCGGTGCTCGCGCCGCAGCCCATCGCGCGGCGCACTGAGGGACGGATCTGATGCTGATGACTGGTCGGACGCGGCTTTGACCGCGGCGCGAACGGTCATCATGACTGCTGGAACGGACCGCCGAGATCTCGATTCGCTGATGTCTGACTCTCCGCGGGCGGGAGTGCCATTCGTCCGACGCCGAGCCCGCGAGCGCCGCCGACGAGCGAGCGACGTCGCGCGTTCCTTCGTTCGCGCGTCGGTCGTTAAGCTACTGTCATTCACATCTAAGTCTACTACTCGTCGTGCGCATCGCGAGCGCGCGCGTCGTCGTCGTCGTCGCGTTCGTCCCGCGCGCGCGCTCGTCTCCTTCCCGTCTCTCGTCGATAGTTTATTTTTTCCTCTCCGTCGAGCGTCGCGCCGAGTCCTCCGACCTCGCCGCGCCGCCGACGCCGCTCATCTCCTCCCGGAGACTCTCCTTCTGCATCAGCAGCCCGGTCATCCTCGCCTCCATGTCGAGCAGCCGCGAGTCGATCGACGCGCTCGCGGCCGACGACGACGGACGCGCGCCGCCGCCGTCTCTCCCGCCGCCGCCGCCGGGCGACCGACGCGGCGACGACAGACCGCGCGACGACAGCTCCTCCGTCTGCGCGCTCACGACGCCCTCCAGCGCGGCGATCTCCTCGATCACCTTCCGATGCGCGGGGTCCAGCGCGCCGTGAAGCTTCGGCGGGCTCGGCGGCGGCCTGAACGCCGGAGCGACGTGCGTTACGACGGCGGGCGTCGCCGCCGCCGGCGTCGCGGCGACGCGTTCGCGCATCGCCGCGCGCGCCTCCAAGTTTCGCGCGAGCTGCCTCTGCTGTCGCTCGAGCGCGTCGTCGAAGTCGAACGGCGCGGCGCCGCCCCCCGCGGCGGCGGCGAACGGCAGCGGCGAGTTCGCCGGGAGGTTCTCCTCGAACTTCCTATCGAAATCCCACCCCGTCGCGCCCGCGAGCGGCGACAGCGACGGGAGCGCGATCGGGGAGAACGCGCCGCCGCCGCCGCCGCCGCCGCCGCCGCCGCCGCCGCCGACGCGGACGGGCTCCAGCCCCGTCCCCGCCCCGGGAGTCTTCGTCGCCGCCGCGAGCGCCGCCGCGACCGCCCTCGCATCCGCGGCCTCTTTCTTCGCGTGGACGCCCCACGCGCGCAAAAACGGCGTCATGAGCGTCGCGAACCGGTGCCGCTTCGCCGTCGCCTCCGCGCTCTCGCGCGCCAGCCGCTCGTACGCGAGATCGTTCCACGCTCGGAGCGCGCGACGCGCGGCTCTTTGCTCCACGAAGACGCGCATCTCTTTCCCGACCCTCGCCGCGAGCGCGATCCTACGCGCTGTCCACCGCTTCCACGCGTTGAAGAGCCGCAGACGCTTCACGAACGCGCGGCGGACGAACATGTCGCGGATCGCGAGCTCGCGCGTCCAGTCTTTTTCGCTCTCCCTATCGCGCGCGTATTTTCGCGGCGCGACGTAATCCGAAGACGCCTCGCGCGCCAGCGCGACCCATCGGAAGAAGCACGCCTCGCGCGTATTTCTCGAACGCACGCGCGCGAACGCGCTCGCGACGGAGTTGAACTCGATCGCTTCCTCTCTCGTCGCGTCCATGTTGAGGCGCGCGTCGTACGCGGACGCTTTCCACCACCCCCGGAACGCCTTCGCGACGACGCGTTTTATCTTCGCCGCGACGACGCGGTCGCACTTGGCCGCGAGCGATTTTTCTCTCTCCTTCTCTTCGCGCCCCTCCGCCGCGCGCTCGACCCAGGTCCAGAACGACGACGCCAAGCGCTTGTGCATCATCCGCTGCGCGGCTCGGATCACGACGCGCTTCACCCTCTTACGCTCGGACGCGCGCTCGCGCCAGCCGAGGAACGCGCGCGACGCGCGACGATCCGTCATCCGACGAATCGCGCGAACGGCCAACCGTCGTTCGCGCGCCCGCTCGCTCGCGAACTCGACCCAGCGCTTATACGCGAGCGTCCTGCACCGGTCGTGGACGCGGTCGAACATCCGCTGGACGTGCACCGCGTTGCGACGCCCGACGAGATGCATCGCGTCCGCGCGCCTGTGCTCGTGCGCCCATTTCCCGAACGCCGTCGCGAGCCGACGCCGCGCGAGCTTCGACGCCGCGCGAAGCAACGCCGAAAAAAGTCGCCGCCGCTCCGACGTCCGCGTCCACCAGCCCCTAAACGCGGCGTACAGCTTGCGGTGCGACATCGCGCGCACGCACCGCGACGCCATGTGAAGCTTTCGGTGGTGTTCGCCAGTCTCGGACGCGAGGTCGAGCCACGCGTTGAACGCGCGCGAGACGCGACGCTCCGCGAGACGCACCGCGGCGCGGTAGAGGAGGCGAATCGCGCGACGCGTCTCGGACGCGTTGGCGCGCCAGCCGCGGAACGCTGCCGCGACGCGTCTTCGCGTGAGGTTGTAGTACACGCGCGCGCCGACGGATTCGAAGAGGGATTGGTGCGCCCTCGCGGCGGCGCCTTCTTCGTAGCGCGACTTGACCGCGATCTGATGCCAGCGCACGATCGACCAACGCGTCGTCCGCGCCTGGACGCCGAACGCCTTCGTCGCCGCGCGCGCGACCACGGATCGTAACCGCCGGTTCTCGACGGTTTCGTCGACCCAGCCGTTGAAAACGTACGCCATCGTCGCGGTCCGTCGACGTCTCGCCCACGTCCACCGCACGTGCCCGACCCTTCTCTGCGTCGACGCGTTGACCATCCACTTCGCGAAGTAGACGCTCAGGCGCGTGACCCTCGACGGCGGGTCGGCGAAAAATTTCGTAAACATCGCCTTCCGATCGCGATGCGCGCTCCACCACGTCACGAGCGCCGCGCGCGCCGCCGCGACGTCCTTGACGCGCTTCCGCCGCGACGCCACCTCGCTCGCGCGCTTGAACGTCCGCGCCTCGTGCGCCCACGCGTTGAACGCGGAAGACGCGCGGCGACGCGTCCAACGCGCCGCGACGCGAGCCATCGCGACGCGCGCCGCGTGCCACGTGGACGTCTTCGTCGCCCACGCGTCGAACGCGTCCGCGAGCGCTTTCTTGCTCCAGTGCGCGATCGCGCGGCGCGCGATGACGCGCGCGCGCTTCGCGTCGTCCAAGGAGAGGAACCAGCCGTCGAACGCGGCGGCGAGTTTCGCCCGGGCGACGCGCGCGACAACTTTTCGCATCTTTCCGCGCGATTCATTCGCGGCGGCGCGCGCGGCGGTCCAGCCCGCGAACGCGCGCGCCGTCGTCAGGTTCGACATCCGATGGACGAATGCGCGGACGACGACGCGCTGCTTGCGCGACTCGCCGAAGAACGCGACCCAGCGCTCGAACGCGCGCGCGGTCGCGATGACGCTCCAACGCGCGACGTGTCGCCGCATTTTTCGTCGCGTCGTCGCCCAGTCCTTCGCGACGTCGATCCAGCGGTCGAACGCGCGCGCGCACTGGCGATGGACGACGCGGCGCGTCACGCGATCGATCGATCTCCGCCTGCGCTTCTCGTCGACCGCGCGTCGAGCCCATCGGTCGAACGACGCGCGGACGCGGACGCGGCGGTCGCGGTCGATGAACCGCGACGTCTTCACGCGCGCCTCGCGTCGCTCGCGCACGAGCCAAGCCCAGTGCTCGAAGCTCGATCGCGTCCCGGGCCTCACCGCGCGTTCGATCATTTTCGCGGCGTACGCGCGGCGACGGCGCTTGTCCCCGCACGCGATCTCCCAGTCGCTGAACGCCTCGCGAAGGACCCTCCGCCCGTGCTTGATAAAAATTTTCGCCGCGAGTTTCGCCGACGCGTTCGTCCGCAGACGTTGCGCCGCCCACGCTCTGAACGCGCGACGCCGCGCCGACGCGCGCATCTTTCTCGCGTTGCACTCCGCGAGCTCGTCGCAGAAGCTCGCGCGCGCGTGCCACTTGGAGAACGCGCGGAACATCGAGCGGTTCTTCGCGCGCGCGATCACGCGTCGGCCCGTCGCGCGGGCGTCCTTCGCGTCCAGCGTCGCGTCGCGCCAGGTCATGAACGCGGAGGCGCGATTGGCGCGAAGCCACTGCTTCAGAACGGACGCGTACGCCGCGCGGTAGTGCCGCGCGTCGTCGACGCGCTCGACCCACGCGTTGAAAGCGGCGCCCATCGATCGATGCGCGAACCGCGTCCCGACGCCGTGGAGTAAGCGCTTCAGGCGCGTCGCGTTCTCCGCCGCCGCGCGCCAGGACGCGAACGACGCGAAGAGGAGCTTGTCCAGCATCGCGGCGACGTAGCGATCGCACAGGTGGAGCTTCCCGAGCCAGTGCCGGTGCTCTTTCGCTTCGTCGACGACGTGCTGACGTTTCGCTTCGACCTTCTCGGCCCAGTCGATGAACGCGCGCGCGAGGTACTTGTCCTGCATCCGTAATATCGCTCGCGAGAGCTGCAAGTCCATGCGCTTGATGTTCGCCGCTTGCTCGTTCCACCTCGTAAACGCCCTGAAGAGAAGGTTCTTGTTGATCGCCAGCAGGTACCGCTCGGACTTTTGCACCGCGTGCGCGTACTTCTGGTCGTCCCTCAGCGACTTGTGCCAGTCGTAGAACGCCTCGGCGACGCGCCGTCGCGATATTTTCTCGCACGCGCGGCGGACAAGCTGTCGCTCGCGTTTGAACTTTCGCGTCGCGTGCGCCCAGCCGTCGAATGCGAACGCGATGTCGCGGAGCGTCATGCGCACGAGGTACCCGTTAAGCTTCCTTCGCGCGAGCTTGTTGCGCCGCCAGTTCTCGTGCCAGTTCCGGAACGCGTCGGAGAGACCGCGGTGTCGCATCGCGCGGACGTACCGCTCGACTTTGACGACGTCGCGTCTCCACGCCGCCTGATCCGCCGCCTCCGCCTCCTTGCGCGTCTCCAGCGCGTCGAGCCAATCGCGGAACGCGCTCGACTTGACGCGCTCGGTGACTCGCGCGAGGACGCGACGGACGATGACCCTCTGACGCCGGAGCTCGACGACGACGTCGCTCCACCGCTCGAACGTCGCCGCCATCGCGCGCTTGGTGAGTTTCGTCACCGCGCGTCGCACCGCCAGCCTCGCCCGACGCTTCTCCTCCGTCATCTCCGCCCAACGCGCGAAGGCGTCGTGCAGGGAGCGCTGAAGCATCGCCATGACGAAGCGCTCGCACTTCTGGAGCTTGAACTCCCACAGCCTGGCTTCTCTCTCCATCTTCTCCTCGTTCGCTCTCTTCTCGCGGACTTTGCGGTGCCACTCTAGGAACGAAAACGAGAGCGTCTCCCCCGCGAGCCGCAGGACGCTTCGTCGGACTTTGTTCTCGTTCTCGATCGCGTTCTTCGTCTGGACGAGCCAACGGTTGAACGCGCAGAACAACGAGCGCTGCTGGATCGCGCGCAGGAAGCGCGCGGCGACCGCGCATCGATGCGCGTGCTGCTTATCGTTCGCGATCTTATCCGCCCACGCGTAGAACGTCTCGGTCAGCGCGCGTCGGGAGAATTTCGAAACCGCGCGCGTGAGAATCAGACGCTGACGGCGAAGCTCTCGGACGTTGTCGTCCCACGTGATCAGCGCGGCGTGCGCGGCGTGGGACTTGATCCGCGCGAGGACGACGTTGATCTTCCCGCGCTGTTCTTTAAGGTGCGCGCGGACGCGCCGCCAGCGAACGAACGCGTGCGAGAGCGACCGTTTCTGCATCGCGAATAGGAACCGCTCCGCCGTCTTCAGACGCGCGAGCCACCGCTCGCTGTCGCGCGCCTCCGCGTCTTTGCGCGCGTCGACGGCGTCGAGCCACTCGTAGAACGCGCTGGATTTCGCGCGCTCGCCGATCTTCGCGAGGACGCGTCGGACGATCGATCGCTGGCGCTTGAGCTCGTCCACGACGTCGATCCAGCGCGCGAACGACGCGACCGCGGCGAGCTTGGTGAGTCGCGCGGCGACGAGCCGGACGCGTCGGCGTTGGGATCTCACCTCCTCGGTCATCTCCTCCCAGCGCGCGAACGCGGCGTGGAGCGCGCGATGCTGCATGGCTAAAACGAAACGGTCGCACTTCTGGAGTTTCGCTTCCCAGAGCTTCCGCGCCTTCTCCTCCTTCTCCACGTGCTTGCGCTTCTCGGAGACTTTCCACTGCCAGTCCAGGAAAGAAGACGCCACCGTGCGATCCATGATGCGCAAGATGCTGCGTCGGATCTTCACCTCCGCGAGCATCGCGTCTCGCGTGACGCCCTTCCAGCGATGAAACGCGGCGAAGGCCGTCCTCTGCATCATCGCCTTGAGGAACCGCTGGCTGACGTGCGCCTTGTACGCGAACGCTTTCGCGTCCGCGATCGCGTCTCGCCAGTCGTAGAACGCCTGGGCGACTTTCCGTTGCGTCACGCGGAACAGCGCCCGACGCATGATGACCCTCTGGCGTTTAATCTCGACGACGTGGTCCGCCCAGCCGCTGACCGCGGCGTACACGAGACGCTGGGACATGCGCACGAGGCAGTTGTTCAAGATGCGTCGCTGGACTTTCATCTCGCGCCAGTTCGCATTCCACTGAAAGAACGCCGCGGATAAGAACCGGTTCTGCCACGCGAGAACGAATCGCTCCACTTTCTTGATGTCCTGCTGCCACCGCTCCTGCTCCGCGATGACCCTCTCGTTCCTCGCGATGACCTCGCCTTGCCACTGGTAGAACGCCTGGGATAACGCGCGCTCGGCGATCTTCGCGATCGCGCGTCGAACGATGACGCGCTGGCGCCTGAGATCGCACGTCGTCTCGAACCAGCGCTCGAACGCGGCCGTCATCGCGCGTTTCGTAAACCGCGCCGCGACGTTTCTCGCCTTTCGACGCATCGCGATCTGCTCCGCGGCCATGTCCTCCCAGCGCGCGAACGCGGCGTGGAGCGCGCGGTGCTGCATCGCGAGCACGAAACGCTCGCACTTCTGGAGTTTCAGCTCCCAAAGCGCGAGCTCTTTCTCCTTCTCCTCGAGCATCTTACGCTTCGCGGCGACTTTCGCGTGCCAGTCGAGGAACGCCCTCGCGACGTACCGATCCGTGAGTCGAAGGAGGCTCCTTCGCACTTTAATCTCCGCCTCGATCGCGCGCCGCGTGACGTCTTTCCACTTCGAGAACGACGCGAAGAGCGTGCGCTGGAACGCGGCCATGATCGTCCGCTCGGACATCAGCGCCTTGGCGGCGAAAATCTTCTGGTCTTTCACGCGCTCTTGCCAGTCGTAAAAAGATCCCGCGAGCTTTCGTCGGGAGATGCGCATCACCGCGCGGCGTAACACCCCGCGCTGCTGCTTCAGGTCGTTCACGGCGTCGAGCCACCGCGAGAACGCGCTGAACACCGCGCGCTGAGACATGCGCACGAGGCACGTGTTCATCTTTCGGCGCATCAGACGGACGTACCGCCAGTGCTCTTCCCACCGCGAGAAAGCGGCCCGCGTCGACCGGTGGCGCATCGCGCGGACGAACCGCTCGACTTTGACGATGTTGGTCTTCCACTCCGAGAGTTCTCTTTTCGCGTTTTCTCGCTTCGCGACGACCTTATCGTGCCAGTCGTAGAACGACGTCGCTTTCAGACGCGCGGAGATTTTGAGAAGGACGCGGCGGACGATGACTCGTTGACGCGACAGCTCGTGGACGACGTCGAGCCACGTCGTAAACGCCGTGACCATCGCGCGCTGGGAGATGTTCGCGAGGACGTTCCTCATCTTACGGCGCGAGCTCGCGAAGCGCGCGGCTTTCGCGGACCACCCGAGGAACGCGCTCTTAAGGAATCGGAGCTGCATCGCGAGAACGAAACGCTCGCAGCGTTTCAGTTTCGCTGCCCAAATTTCCACGCGTTTCCGTTCCGCGATCGCCTCCTCCGTGACTTCGCGCCACCGCTTCATCGCCGCCGCGGCGACGGACAGGTGCATGAACTTGATAAATTTCGCGGCGATCAGGTCCTTACGCTTCTCCTCCGCCTCCTCCGCCTTGCGCGTGCCCACGGACGATCGCCACTCGTAAAACGAGGACGAGACCGTCAGGTGCGTCATTCGCATCAGCGTCCGGCGCACGACGCGTCGTTCACGCGAGATGCGCTGCGCCTCGTCCGCCCACTGCGCGAACGCGGAAAAAACGCGGCGCTGCGTCATGCGCGACAGGCACTGCGACATCTTACGTCGCTGCGTTCGAATGTTCCTCCAGTTGGTCTCCCAAACGGAGAAGCTCTCGATCAGAGAGCGGCGTTCCGCGGCCATGACGAAGCGCTGCGCTTTCGCGACTTTCGCCTCCCACTCTTGCGCTTTCGCGATTTGCTCCGCGTACAGCCTCTCGTCCTCCGCGCGTTTCTCGACGACGTGATCGGCCCAGGCGTAGAAGAACTCGTTCACCGACCGTCGCGCGAACTTCGCGAGCGAGCGCTTGACGACGATCCGGTGGCGCTTCCGCGACTCCGCGTGCTCCGTCCAGCCTTGAAACGATGAGTACAGCGCGCGCGCCGACATTCTCTGCACGCAGTTGTTCAGAATCTTCCGCTGCCGCCTGAGTTCGATCACGTTCGACTCCCACTGAACGAACGCCGCGTTGAGGCTTCGGTTCGTCCACGCGAGGACGAAACGCTGGATCTTTTTCAAGTTGGTCTCCTTTTGTTCCTCCACCGCGACGTCGTGCTCTTGTTTCTCGACGACCATCTCTCGCCAGTGATAAAACGCGCTCGAGAGCGTCCGCTCCGTGATTTTCGCGAGGACTCTCCTCACGATCACCCTCTGACGCTTCAGCTCCGTCGTCGTGTCGACCCACTCGTCGAAAGCGGCGGCGACGCACCGGTTCATGATCTTCCCGACGCATCGACGGACCTTCACCTCCGCTTCTTTGTTCACGCGCGTGACGTCCTTCCAGCGATGAAACGCGACGAACATCGAGCGATGAAAAATCGCGGCGACGAACCGCTCGCTGACTCGCGCGTTGCGCGCGAACGCTTTCGCGTCCGCGATCGCATCGCGCCAGTCGTAAAATGCGCCCGCGATTTGCCGCTGCGCAATCTTCGCGACGACCCTGCGCACGATCACGCGCTGGCGTTTCACCTCGACCGCGCGCTCGGCCCAGGAGATGAACGACGACGCGAGCACGCGTTGGGACATGCGAGCGACGCAGTTGTTCAAGATGCGTCGCTGGACTTTCATCTCGCGCCAGTTCGAATCCCACTGAATGAACGCCGCGGATAAGAACCGGTTCTGCCACGCGAGCACGAACCGCTCCACCTTCTTGATGTCCTGCTGCCACTGCGCCGCCTCGCGCTCGAGGTGCTCTCGCTTCGCGATGACGAGCTCTCGCCAGTCATAAAAAGCGCCGGCTTTGACGCGTTCGGAAATTTTCGCGAGCACGCGTCTCACGATGACCCTCTGCCTCCGCATCTCGTCCGCGGTCTCGACCCACTCCTCGAACGCGGCCGCCATCGCGCGCTTCGCGAACCGCGCGGTGACGCCCCTGAGCTTCCGCCGCAGCCGCGCGCGCTCGCTCGCCATCTCCTCCCAGCGCTCGAACGCGGCGAACAGCTCGCGCTTCTGCATCGCGAGCACGAACCGCTCGCACTTCCCGAGCTTCGCCTCCCACGCCCGCGCCTCGCGCTCTTCGCGCTCGACGTGCGCCCTCAGCTCCGCCACCTTGCGCTGCCATTCCAGGAAGCACGTCGACAGGGACCTGTCCATCAGCCGCAGGATCGCCCGGCGGACTTTCACCTCGGCCGCGACGTTCTCTCGCGTCGTCTCGCGCCATTTCGTAAACGCGGAAAACGCGATTCGCGACGACATCGCGGCGACGAAACGCTCCGCCGCGGCGACGCGAACCTCCCACGCCTTCTGTCGTCGTCGCGAGTCGACCCACGCGTAGAAACACGACGCGAACACTCTCGAGGAGATGCGCGCGAGGACCCTGGAGACGATGACGCGCTGGCGCTTGAGCTCGGACGCGTGATCCGCCCAGCCGACGAGCGCGGCGTGCGCGCTGCGTTTGGACATCCGCCGAACGATCGCGTCGAGCTTCCGACGCGTCGTCCTTCGCTCCCTCGCGCGCGCGCGCCATCGGATCAACGCGGAAGACGCGGAGCGGTTAAGCATCGAGAGGACGAACCGCTCCACCTTCTTGATGTTCTTCTGCCACTCTTTCTGCTCCGCGAGAAGATGCTCTCGCTTCGCGACCACCTTGCCGTGCCAGTCGTAAAAAAAACCGGCTTTGACGCGTTCGGCGATTTTCGCGAGCACCCTTCGCACGATGACCTTCTGCCTTTTCATCTCGTCCGTCGCCTCGACCCATCGCGCGAACCCGTGTGCCATCGCGCGCTTCGCGAGCCGCGCCATGACGCCGCGCACGCGCCGCCGCTGCGCGACGCGATCCCGGGTCACCTCTTCCCAGCGCTCGAACGCGGCGAACGCGGTTCGCTTCCGCATCGCCGCGACGAAGCGTTCGCATCGCTTGAGCTTGCGCTCCCACGCCGCGATCGACGCCGCTTCCGTCTCTTCGCGCTTCTTGCGTTCCGTGACCGCAGCCTGCCACGTGTAAAACGCGGACTCCCCGACGCGGCCGAGAATTTTCAGGACGTTCCTTCGAATCTTGTTCTCCTCGGCGGCTTTGACGCGCGCGTATTCCATCCACCGCTCGAACGCCGCCGACAGCGAGCGGTTCACAATCTTTCTCAGGTATCGCTCCGCGACGCTCACCTTGGTCGCCCACACGCGCTTCTCGCGGACTTTATCCGCCCACTCGTAGAACGACTCGGAGACGCCGCGGCGGGTGATCCTCGCGAGGACGCGCTTCACCGCCGCGCGTTGATATCTGAGCCGACCCGTCGCCTCGACCCACCCCTCGAACGCGGACAGGCACGCGCGCAGGTACATCCGTCGCGCGAACGTCGTGAGCCACCTGCGTTTCGTGCGCCACTTCTGCGCGTTCGCGGCCCACCCTGTGAAGGCGTAGTGGAGGAGTTTCCTCGCGATGGCGCGCGCGAAGTGTTCCACCCGGCGGAGTTTCAACGCGTGAAATTTCGCGGCTCGTTCCTCTCGCGCCGCCTGCTCCTCTTGCGCCTTGATGCTCGCCTCGAACGCTAAGTGCGAATCGCGAACGGCGTCGATCCAGTCGTAAAACGCGGACGCGATCGATCGTCGACGCATGCGCATGATCGACCGGCGGACTTTTTCCTTCACGCCGAAGTTGATGTTCTTCTCTCGACGCCACTGCGAAAACGCGCGCCGGCGGCTGTTCATGCGTCTCGACGACCGATACCCTTCCAGGACGACAAACTTTTCGTGGCTCATCCCCATCCACACGCGGAAACACCGGTACGATTTCCGCTTGTCCCACATCGCGAGCCGCCCCGCGAGACGCTCCGTGCGTCCTTTCATGTCCCGAGCTTGCAACACGACGTCGCGCCATTGGTACAGATGCCTTCGCGTCAGCGACCGCCGCATCAAGTTCGATATCCTCATCGCGTACATCGTGTTCTTCTTGATCGTTTCGCAGTACACCCTCCACACCGCGAACACGGGCTTCAAGACGCGCGTGTTCGCCGCCGTCTTGGACTTCCTCGCGAAACCTTGCATGAGCTTGATCCCGAGATCGAGCGCGTCCTCTTCGCCGGCGCCCGAGACTTTCCCGCCGCCGCCGCCGGCGCCGCCGCCCGTCGTCGCTCCCCGCGCCGGCGTCGCGTGCCGACTCGACGCGTTGCTGCGCATCCCGCCTATTCCGCCGCCCCCCGGGCGACGCTTCCCCATCGTTTCAAACGGCACCGGTCGCCGCCATCGCTCGTCGCGCTCCGTCGGCGTCGCCAGACCCGCGCCGGCGGCGGTGCGCTTGCCGCCGAGCGCGGCGACCCTCGCCGCCGCCGCCGCGATCGCCGCCTCTCCCGCGGGGCCGACACTCGGCCCCGCGGGACCTCCCGCCGCCCCGCCGCCGCCGCCGCCCGCGGGGGAAGTCCGCAAGCTTGGCGGTAGGCTCTCGCGCGCGACGCGCTCGATGTACGGCGACGGCGCGTAGTACGGCGACCCCGCGGGCGTCGCCGACGCGACGAGGACGTACACCTTGATCCGAATCGCGTGATTCGGGAATCGACGCGGCTCCAAGCGCAGCGCCGCGATCGGCGCGCCGCGCGACGACGAAGCGCTCTCGCCGCCGCGCTCCAACGCGCGCACGTTCTTCGCTTCGAACGACTCGTTCACGCCGAAATTCGAGGCGTAAAACACGAGCTTGTGCACGCCCGCCTTGCGCGCCTGCAGGAATCGCCCCGTCGGCTCGTGCACGAATCCGACGAAGTCGCCCTTCCGTCGAAGCGTCAGCGCGTGCGCCGCGTCGTCGCGCTTCTTCGTCTCCTCCGCGGCGAGCGCGTCCGACAGCGCGAGGTACAGCATTCCGTCGTCGTTCTCGCGCACGACGTACAGCCGGTCGCTGTGCTCGTCCGCGAACGCGACGGACGCGCCCGCGGACGGGAGCCCGTCGTCGTCTCGAACGACGCGACCGATGATCGCGCGCGACGGCGGCGACCCCGGGTCGGTCATGACGCGCGCGTTCGTGCGTCACTCCCTACCGCGGCTCTCTCGCGTCGTCGTCGCGCGCGCGCCCGCGACCGCGCCTTTGGAGGGAGTCGCGCGGCCGGGGGCTCCTCCGCCCCGCGTCCGCGTCCCGTCAAATCTGAATCTGAGCCGCTCAGCAGAGAGACGGATGAATTTTCGACCCAGGCGACGTCGACGCCTCCGTCCACGCGCGCGGGTTCGCCCTTCCGAACCCCGCGTCTCGCTCTGCACCGGCGTGCGAAGCGCTATCGACCGGCTAGTCCGATCGAACGCCCCAACGGAAGGAGAGGCCCCGCGCTAGTCGCCGGGCTCGCTCCTCCGATGATGATGCGGCGATCCGGCGTCCTGCAAATTTTCCTTGCTTTGAACTGCTGTGGCTTTGAAAATTTAACATCGATCGACTGCGATCGAAGTTTTTTCACGCACCCTCGGTTTCAACATTCGATCGCATGCACCCTTTCAACGGACCGATGAACGTCAATTTATTGACCGACACACGGTGATGAAGCAGCGGATCATCATCCGTCCGGTCCTGTCCGGTCCGAGAGCTCGCAACTAAGTCGCGTGCAATCCAACGCGGACGCTCACACCGTCGCGGCGCGGCAGACGAACGCGTCGTCACCCGGTCCGCGCGATCGCACCCACGTCCGACCATGGGCGGCTCTAAGGCTGGCCTCGGGCTCACGTTCTCGTGCGGAGAGAACCCGGCCTTGATCCCCGCGTCGACGAACCCTTCGAGCGCGGGGGGATTGCCCCCAGCGGCGTACGTGCAGTCGATGAAGACCGCGCTCGAAGTCGGTGCGTGTCTCCGCCCGCGCGCGCCGAAGACGCTCTGCATCTCGATCGCGCGCGCGCGTCGATTCGATCGATTCCCCCCGGCGCGCGCGTCGTCGCGGACGCGCGAACACGCGACGCGCGGCGCGCGTGATGCTCGTGCGCGCGTCGCGGCGACGATGGAATTCCGCGTCCTAAAGCGGAATCCCTCCGTCCCGGTCGCGTCGATTCATTCATCGCTTTTCGGTTCCTTTTTCGTTCCTCCGCCCCCCCGAGCCTCATACGACCGACGACGCGTCCCTCCTCCGTCCACCTCGTCCTTCGCAGGCGAGAACAAAGGCCCGCACAAGGTCAAGAAGATCTCCCTGGAGACGATCAGGGCGCCCGGGTACGCGCCGCCCCCGACGAAGCCCGGCGTCGCGCCGCTCCCGGCGCTCACCTCTCCGCGGAGCGTCCACGTGTGCATGTCCCGCGGCGTGGACCCCTCGAACTTGCTCGAGAAGCCGCTCAGCGCGTTCGCGAAGCCCGGGATGCGTCCGGAGCTCGTGAAGACCGCGCACGAGCACCACCTGAAGACGCGCGCGGCGAAGATCGACGCGTTGCTGGAAGACCGCGCGAAGCTCCCCGCGAACTTCAAGCCGCCCGAACCGAAAAAGTTTGAGCCGCCCGAGGCTAAGCCCGGCGCGAGCGCGATCGAGGCCGCGATGGAGCTCTTGGGGGACGAGAAGCTCATGGAGAAGCACGCGGAGCAGAGCGCGAAGCTCGCGAAGGTCCAGGCGGCCATGGCGGCGAGCCGCGAGAAGGCGGAGAGGCTGGCGGATCAGGCGCGTTTTATCTCACACTGGTCCCCATACGACGGCGTTCGCGTGGTGAACGCCGATCCTTAAGGACTTTCTCTCCCGGCGTCTCTCTCCGCCCACCCCTCCCTTTCAATCCTGACACACCTCGACACCTTTCAACTCCACCTGACGCCTTTGAACTCCACCCCGATATCATCGCTCGTATGGAACGACCCGCAGAGCCAGAAGGAGTACGCGATCAAGATGGCCAAGGTGAACGCGCGGTTCGTCACCGCCAAGGCGACGCTCAAGGCGAAAGAGGTGGAGCGCGACCGCGCTTTATTCGAGAAGGGCCAGGAGCAGATCCGGAGCGCGGCGGCGTACGAGCGCGAGGAGCGGCGGCTCGCGGAGGAGCGCTTCGAGGAGGAGATGAAGCTCCTCGAGCTCGAAAAGAAGCAGGCGGAGGAGGAGAGGAAACGCGCCGAGGCGGCGACGCGCGAGCGCGAGCGCAAAACAAAGGAGTGGGCCGCGAAGCTCGTGACGATACGCGCGGAGCAGGAGGCGGAGATCGAGGAACTGAGGAAGCAGCTCGAAGCGCGAGACGCCAAGCTGGAGGAGTACAAGGCGGCGCTCGTGAAGAACCGCGCCGAACGTCTGGCGGCGTCCAAGGCTGGGAAGAACGAAGCGATCGCCGCGTCGCTGCAACGCGCGGAGGAGCTCGAGGATGCGCAGAAGCTGGAGTGGATGGAGCGACGCATGGCGCGAGACGCGTACGTCGCGGCGTTGCGCGCGCAGGATAACACCGCGCAGGCGAAAGAGGAGCGGGACGCCAGGGCGCAGGAGAAGCGCGACCGCGTCGCGGCGACGGCGAAGGCGAAGGAGAGGGAGCGCGTCGAAAAGATCGCCGCGGTGATGGCGAAGCAAGAGGCGCACCTCGCGGCGATCGAGAAGCAGAAGAAGAGAGACATCGAGCGGAAGATTTTGGAGCGGAAGCTCAAGGTGAGGGAGAGGATAGAGAGAGTGGAGAACGTCGCGCGCGTCGGCGAGGTGCACCGAGCGCGTCTGCGCGAGGAAACCGCGGAGAAGATGGCCAGAGGCGCGCTCATGGTGCACACGAAGCGGGCGATGGCGGAAGAGCGACAGGCGCAGAACTGCACGAGGGCGCTGAAGGAGAGCACGCGGAAGGTGTCCGCGGAGGAGTCGCAGCGGATGAACACGCGGCGGCGGTGGTTGAAATCGGAAAAGGCGAAGAGCGAGCTGTACGCCGCGACAGTCGCGTCGTCGCTCGCGTCGTCGGCGCAGTCGTCGCGCGCCGGCAGCGCCGTCGGCGCCGCGCGCGCGAGGAAGCCCGCGGCCGCGGCGGCACCGGCGAGCGCGCCCGCGCACGCGAGGAAGCTGTCCGCGGCGGGGTCCGCGGCGGGGTCGGAGAAGCCGACGCACGCGAGGAAGCCGTCCGCGGCGGGGTCCGCGGCGGGGTCGGAGAAGCCGACGCACGCGAGGAAGCCGTCCGCGGCGGGGTCCGCGGCGGGGAGCGTGAAAGCCGGGTCCGTCGCGGGCGGGTCGAAGGCTGGGTCCGCCGCGGGTTCCCGGCCCGGGTCCGTCGCGGGCGGTTCGAAGGCTGGGTCCGCCGCGGGTTCCCGGCCCGGGTCGAGAGCGGGCGGTTCGAAGCCGGGGTCGAGGGCGGAGACGCCGGCGTTGGCGGGCGACGCGCCGGCGCCGGCACCGTCGGAAGAGGCGCCCGCGGCGGAGGCGCCGGCGGCGGCGGAGGCGCCGGCGGAGGCTGCGGCTCCGGAGCCCGAGCCCGAGCCCGAACCGGAGCCCGAGCCCGAGCCCGAACCCGAGCCCGAACCGGAGCCCGAGCCCGAGCCCGAACCGGAACCGGAACCGGAGCCGGAGCCCGAGCCCGAGCCCGAGCCCGAGCCCGAGCCGGAGCCCGAGCCTCCGGCGGATGAGGCTCCTCCCGCGGCGGAAGAGGCTGCGGCCGAGCCGGAAGCCCCCGCGGCAGAGGCTCCCGCGGCGCCGGAAGAGGCTCCCGCGGCGGAGGAGGAAGCGCCGGCGGCTTAGTGGCTTAGTCTCGCGCGGGCACACGCCAGTCGCTGTACATAAATAAATTGCCAGTCGATCTCTCGACTCGACTCGCTTCGCTCTCGCACTGTCCCTCGCGCCGCGCGCACCACCGCCGCGCGGGCGAACGACACCCGGGATGGGCTCGCCGAACGTCCCGCTCGTGCTTCAGAACGGCGCGATGCGCAAGGGCGTCGACAGAGCGCACTTCGGTGCGCGCGCGCGGCCCCCCGATCGCGTTCTCGTTCCCGCCGATTCTCGCGCGGCGGGTGCCCATCTTCCATCCCCGTCCCCGTCCCCGTCCCCGTCCCCGTCCCCGTCCCCTCGTCCCGTCCCGTCCCGTCCTCGACGTCCATCCCCTCCTCCTCCGCTCCTCAGGCCGCGTCTTCGACATCGCGTTCTGCCCGTGGGACGACCGCCTGTTCGCGTCCGCGGGCGAGGACGAGACCGCGCGCGTGTGGCTCGACCGCGGCGCCGCGGACGGCGCGACCGCCCACGGCGTGTGCCGCGGCCATAAGGACGAGGTCGTCCGCGTCGCGTGGCACCCTACGCTCAAGATCCTCGCGACCGGCTCCGCGGACGGCGCATCGGGCGTGTGGAGGATCGCGCAGCCCGGCGCGGAGGAGTCCGCGAACGCGAACGACCCGAACGCGGGCGCGATCGCTCTCGTTGACACGCTCGTCGACGAGACGTGCGGCGACGAGGTCTACGGCTGCGCGTTCGTCGGCGAATGCGGCGACGGCCCGGTCCTCGCGACCGCGTCCGGGGCGGACGTGCGCCTGTGGGACCTCGAGAGCGGCGGCATGACGTGCAGAGCGACCCCGAGCGCGGCGACGAGCGCGGCGGCGAGCGCGGGGGCGGTCCCGGAGCGATGGCGACCGGGGTACCTCTTCTCGTTGGCTTCCGACGGCGGCGCGCGCGGGTTGCTCGCGTCCGGATGCAGCGACGGGCGCGTCCGCGTGTACGCGCACGATTCGACCGCGGGGACGGTGACGAACGTGGCGTGCTTGCCGCTGCACGCGAACGCGATGGTGTCGTGCACCGCGTTCTTAGCCGGCGGGGACGTCTTAGCGTCGGTTTCCGCCGACGGCGTCGTCGTGACGACGGACGTGAGGACGATGACGGCGACGCGGAGGATCACGGCGCCGTGCCCCATCATGGGGTGCTGCGCGATCGGCGGCGTCGATGGGAACTGGCTCGCTATGTGCGGGAACGACGGCGTCGTGCGCGCGATGGACGTGACCGGGGAGGGAGGGAGCAAGTCGATGCGCGTGTCCGAGTCGCCGTTGTTGTGCGTCGCGGCGGATGCGCGAGGGAAGCGGATCGCCGCGGCGGGGCACCAGGCGGAGGCGGCGCAAAAGTCGGTGGGGTCGTTCGGGTGGTCGGAGAGCAGCGGCGGGGGGGTGTTCGGCGCGAAGAAGAAGCCGTCGCCCGCGGTCGTGCACTTGTTCGAGAGCGCCGGCGACGTGATTTTTTGAAGTGACAGAGTCTATTCAAAGCGAATGTTTACATTTTCCATCACGGCCGCAACGGTCTCGGCGTGCGCGTCCTCGAGATCGATCGCTCGAACGCGCTCATCTTCTTCCGTTTCACGGAGGTCGGCGTGTGCGCGACCTTCGTCGCGGGCTCGATCTCGCTCGCGGGCTCGATCTCGCTCGCGGGCTCGATCTCGCTCGCCGTCGTCTCCTTTTTCGACGGCGTCTTCGCCAAGAAATGCGCGAAGACTTCGTTCCGCTTCGATTTCCTCGCTTCTATCCTCGTCGCTTTCGGGGATTCGTCCCTCGGCGAGCTCGGGTTCGACGCTCTCGGCGGGGACGCGACGAGTCCTCCACTGCTCGCGCGCGCTGCCTTTTTATCCTCGCGCGTGGCGGCCATCGACCTCAAGAAGGCGTTTTTTTTGCCAGCCTCGCGCGGCGACGTTGGCTCCGCGTCGTTCGGTCGCGTCGCGGGAGCTTCGGGCGCGGGAAGCGCCGGCGGCAGCGGCGTCGCGCCTCTTTTGCTTATCGAGTTCAAGAATGAATTCCTCTTCTTCAGCGCTGCGTTTTGGTTCACCGGGACGTCCACCATCGGGGGATCCGCATCATCTTCCGTGAGCGTCAGCGATCGCCCTAGCATGTTCTGCGGCGGCGGCGAGGCCGGCAGCGCAGGCGGCGGCCGCGCCAACGTCTTCGCAGCCTTCTTATCCTCGCGCGCGGCGGTCACCGACCTCAAGAAGGCGGTCTTTTTGCCATCCTCGCGCGGCGACGTCGGCTCCGCGTCCCCGACGAGCGGCGACGACGGCGGCAGCGGCCTATTTTCCTTCCTCGCGATGGATTTTACCCGACCCGCGTCTTTGAGCTTGTCTTTGAGCTTGTTCGACATCATCGACTGCAAAAACGCCGCGCGTCGCTTTTCCGTAGGCGATTTCTCGCTGACGTAATCCCCCACCTGTAACGACTCACCGCGTCGGAAGGTCGCTCTTACCGGCGGAGCGATGGGCTGCATCCCTTTCACGCCGCCGTCCTCGTCGTGCACCTTTGCGTTGGCTTCGAGTTCACTCTTGTCTATCGTTCTGTCGTAGTCTAACGTTCTTTTCGGTTTCGCGAAGGTCGTGACCGACTTTTCTGTTTTGAACCTTGGCAACGCCGCAACCGTCGTTCTCACCGGCGCGAGCGTCGCCGACTTCACGGTGAGCTTTTTCACGGGGGACTGCATCGGGGAAGATTTCGGCGGCGCGACCGGCGCCGCCGTCGTCGTCACGGCGGTTTCGGGCTTTTTCTGCGCCGCGGAGCTCTTCGACTTCTGCGCGAATGAGACAGACGATCGCGGGGTGACGCTCGTGGACGCTCGCGGAGTCGTTTTCATCGACGGCGGCGGCGGCGGCGGCGGCGCGGGTCTCTTCGCCGCGACGACGGGTCTCTTCGCGATCGGCTTCCGAATCGCGCTCGCCGTAGAGGACCTTCGCGTCGACGCCGGCGCCGGCTTCGCGACGACCGCGCGCGCGACCGGCCTCGCGGACGCGGGCCTGGACGTCGCCGGCGTCTTCGCCGCCTGCTCCAGCTTCGCGATGTCGTTCTTCAGACGCTTCAGGTACGCCTCGCGTCGTCGCGCGTCCGCGTTCTCCTTCTCCGTCCTCGCCGGAGATTTCGCCACCGCGCCCGAGTCCGCGCTCGCGCTGAGCTGCTTCGGTCGCGTCGTCAGCCCCGCGACGCCCGGCCTCGGCTGCTGCTGCGTCGCGACGACTCGCGTGGATCCGGTCGACGCGCGAACGCGAGCGCTCTGCGCGCTCGCCGGGCGCTTCACCAACGCCGACCGCGGCGGCGCCGGCGACGACCGCGTCGTCCCCGCGCTTCCGGGCCGCGACGCCGAGCGCGGCAGCGTCCCGGACGAGCTCATCCGCGCTCGGTTCCGGAGCGTCCGCACGTCGAGCTCGTTCACGAGGCTCTCGCGCTGTAACGCGATCTTCTCGTTCTGATGGCGTCGGTTCAAACGCAGCTGCTCCTTCGCGTCTTGAATCGCCCTCGCCCTCGCGGTCTCGCGTTCGATCTTCTCCAACCGCTGCGCGGACTCGTACTCGCGCTTCCGTCGCATGCGCTCGACCTTCTCTTTTCTCTCCTCTTCCTCGAGCTGATGCGCCAGCGCGGCCATCTCGCGCTCTTTCTTCTTCCGCTCCGCTTCTTCGCGTTTGCGTTCGAGTTCGCGTTCTTTCTCCTCTAACAACGCGTACCTTTGCGCTTGCATCGCGGCTTGGACTTCTTCGTAGACTTCGTGCTTGAACGCCGCCTTCGCCGCGTTCTCCGCAGCCTTGCGCGCGCGCTCGTACTCGAGATGCTCCGCTCGGTGCGCCTGCCGCCGCTCGACTTCCTCTGCTTTGCTTAAAATTTCCTCGCGTCTCGCCTCGACGACGACTTCGGCGCGAGACTTGGCGAGTTCGCACTTCTCCGCGTGCGCTGAGCTCCTGCGCTCCTTCTCCGCGGCGCGTTCTGCTCGCGCGCGCTCGATCGCGGCTTCTTTCTCCCTCGCCGCTCGCTCCAGCTCGCGCTTCTTCCTCTCCACGGCGTCGAGCTGTCGCGACTTGATCCTCTCGGTTTGCATTTTAAAGTCGAGCTCGTTCTTGACGCGTTCGCGTTCGATCCGCGTCGCCTCTCGCTTTCTCGCGCGCTCGTTCTCTTCGCGCTGCTTCTTCTCCTCCCTCACGCGCTTAAACTCCGCGTCCGCCTCGAGCTTCTGAAGCTTCAAGAGCAGCTCTTTCTCTTCTTTCCTCGCCTTGACGCGTTCGAACTCGCGTCGTTGCCGGTCCTTCAGGCGTTCGCGTTTATTCATCTCGTGCTCCTCCATCAGCGCCTCGTGCTCTCGCAAGCGCATATCCTGCTCCGCTTGCAACGCTTCGGCAATCGCCTTCTGCGCGGCGATCGCGGCGACGCGCTTCTCCTCGCGCCTGGCCGCGGCTTCCATGCGCGCGCGCTCCTCTCTGAGCGCGGCGGCGTCGCCCGCGAGCAGATCAAACGCGACGTGCGAGTATCCGGCGTGATCGAAACTCGCGTTCACCGGGAGCGTCTTCCCCGCGCCCGGGGACCGGTGCACGACCGTGGACGGACGCTTCCCCGCCGCCGAGACCGACGCCGACCGCGGTCGGTTTTGGTTTCTATAAGGCGTTCGCGCGCGCGTCGACGTCGACGCTCTCGCCGCCGCCGCCGCCGATCGATTTGGCGACAGGATGCGCACGCCCGGGACGTCGTCGATCTCCTCCGCGAACGGCAACAGCGCGCGCGCGGCGTTCAGCGACGCGACGCGCTCCCTGCGAGCGAGCTCGTAGTGCTCCCACTTGAACCGCTGCTGCTCCGCGTTCAGCGACGGGTCCGCGAACGCGCTCACCGGTCGAGGCGCGAGCGACGCGGGGTCGACCCCCGCCTCGAGGCACGCGCGCACGGATCTCGGGGACGTCACGACCGCGGGTCCCTTCGCGGAGGCGGATCGCGACGCGAGGTCATCGATCGTGATCGGGGCGCCGGAGAGGTCGAGCTTCTTCACGCTCGACTCCAGCCACGCCTGCGGGAGGGAGAGAGAGGGGTTGGACGACGGGGACGATGTTAGCGCATCGCGCTTCCGAGCGAGTTCCCCTCGGACGTCGCGAACGCGAAGGGGGCGCACCAGCGGGCGGTCGCTCGCGCCCGGGGTCGCGGGGCTGCTCGGCATCGTCGTGGAATCCCACGCGCGTCGGAGCGGTGTTCTACAACGCCGTCGATCGATCCCGCCGGGGTGAGGAACGCCCGCGGGCGCCCTACAAATGGATTCGCCCCAACACTGCACTGGCCCGGCGAGCTCGTCCGCGTCAAAATGCACTGAAAAAAAATCGTTCCGGGCGGCCAGAGGCGGGGAGCACCGAGGCGAGGAGCAGCCCACGTGGATATGGGACCGCAAGGTAAACGATGGCCGAAGTGGAAGCAGCGGCGCGATAACTCGGGCGACGACGTCACGGAGGAGAACCGCGCGAAGAAGCTGCACCACGGCGTGAAGTGCATTCGCAAGGTGCGAGCGATCGATTCCGCGGTCGAATGAATCGAATCTTCCGGAACGCGCGCCGTCGCGCCGTCGACGCCCTCGACGCGTCTTCCTCTCTCCCCGCCGACCGATATCGAACACCACGCGTCCCGCACATCGTTCTCACCGCGTTTCCCGTTCACCATCCACAGGCGCTGAAGAAGGCGAGGACGTTCGAGGAGCGCAAGATCCAGCGCCGCGCGACGCAAGCGGCGGCGGCGACGATGACACCGACGAGCGCGAACAAAGTCGACGCCGCGAAGCTCTCCACGCAGCTCGCGGCGGCTCGCGCGCTCGACGTCGACGCCCTCGGGGCGCACGTCGGCGAGATGACGCTGCGCGCGGTGCTCCGCGGCGAAGACGCGCCGTCCGCGGCGGAGGCGCTGCCGGCGACGAACGACTCGGAGACGAAGGCGTCGTCGAAAGCCGTCGGCGCCGCGGCGGTGAAAGCCGCGGGGACGACCGCCGCGCTCGTCGTCGCGCGGCGCGTGCTCGCCGCGGCGTGCGTTCGAGAGGAAATCAACGCGCTGCAGGAGAAGCTCGCGCTCGTGGGGGACCGGCAGGAGTGGGCGAAGGGAAGACTCGCGAGAGAGGAAGCGCGAAGGAGAGCGAAAGAGGACGAGAAAGCGAAGAAGGAGGCGGCTCGAGAGGAGGCGCAGAGAGAGAGAGAGGAAGCGAAACGGCGGACGACGAGCCGCGGTCCGGGAGACGTCGACGCGCAGGTGGACGACGTGGACGACGACGTGGACGACGACGAGGACGAGGAGGAGGAGGAGGAGGAGGAGGACGACGGCGAGAGCGAGAGCGAGGAAGAGGAAGAGGACGAGAGAGCGTCCGAGTCTGAGTCCGAGTCTGGCGACGCGTCCGCGTCCGACGGCGAGCGCGGGGACCTCGAGGAGGACGACTGGAGCAGCGGCGGCGAAGAGAACGCGCGGCCGGAGCTCAGCGACAGCGACTCGGAGAGCGACAGCGACGACATCGTCATCCGCGACGACGACGGCGAGCTCCGAAAGTTTCTTGCGGCCGAGGGCGAGGAGGAGGAGGAGGAGGAGGAGGAGGAGGACGACGACGCGCGGTTCGAGCGCGAGAGCGACAGCGACGTGGACCCGGACGACGAGCTCCCGCCCGAGCTCGCGAGGATCCTGGGCGTGGACAAGAAACCCGCGAAGCCGTCGAGCGCGCGCGCCGCGGGTAAGCCGGAAAAGCCGTCGGACGCGAAGGGAAAAAACGCCCGCGGCGGCGCGGCGAAGAAGGCGCCGCCGGCGAAAAAGCCGAAGAAGCGCATGGGCCAACGCAAGCGGCGGCTGCTCGCGGAGCAGATGCACGGCGACAACGCGAATCACATCAAGAGATCGCGCGAGGAGCGCGAGCGCGTGGAGCGGCAGAAGCGCGAGCAGGAAGAGAACATGCACCCGGCGTGGGCGGCGAAACGCGCGGCGGCGGCGGCGGCGACGGCGGCGGCGCCGAAGGGTAAGAAGATGTCCTTCGGCGAGGACGGGTCGTCGCCGATGCAGACCGTCCCGCCGCCGCCCGCGAGAGGAGGCGGCGGACGCGGCGGCGGTCGCGGCGGTCGCGGAGGTCGCGGTGACGGCGGCGGCGGGAGAGGCGCGCCGCGGACCGCGGGACGCGAGAGAGGCGGCGGCGGCGGCGGCGCGAAGCCGCCGCCGCGGAGGGGCGACGACGAGGGGAAGAGAGCTTCTTCCGATAAGGCGTCGAAGCCGAGACCGAGGAAGGTGTACGTCGGCGAGATCAAAGGCGGCACCGGCGAGGTCGTCGGGACCGTCACGAAGCCGATGGGTCCGAGCGGGAACAAGGATAAGGACGCGGCGCGGAAAAGTCCCGGCGGCGGCGGAGGCGGCGGGGGGCGTTTCGTCAGCGCGGAGGAAGCCGCCGCCGCGCACCCATCGTGGTCGGCGAAGAGGAAAGCCGCGGACGAGGCCTGGGGGGCGACGAAGCCGTCCGGGAAAAAGATCACGTTCGACGACTGACGTCGGTTCTTTAGCGTAGCAGACGCGTGAGGTCGTCGACTGGCGAGAGTGGTGTTACCGTCTGTATCATGGAGGAACGACTTTTCGCGCGCGAAAACCGGTCGAGGGCGCGGCGACGGCCGTTTTCCGACTGACACGTCGACGGTTCGAAATCGACGCGTCGTGGCTCCGCGCACGCACTCCTCGCGGCGCCATGGCGACTCGAGGCAAGCAAACGCGCGCGAAATCGAACGCGCAGACGCTCGATATGAAGTCCCCCGCGGCGAAGACCGAGTCCGACCGCAAGAAGCGCCGCGTCGGGAGCGAAGAGAAGTCCGCCGCCGCGGAGAAGTCGATCGCGACGCCCGCGAGACGCTCCTCCGGAAGGCTCTCCGGCGCGACGCCGCCGACGAAGACGAAAGCCGAGAAAGAAGAGCCCGTCGCGCCCACCGCGAACTACGACGGCCTCACCGCGTTCGAGATCGAGCGCGAGGAGAGGATCGCGCGGAACAAAGAGCGCATGGCCGCGCTGAACATCGGCACGCTCGCCGCGGAGGTCGCGACGAAGTCCGCCTCCGCGGGCGGGCCGTCCCAGCGCGGGATCGGGTCGAAGCGCCAGCGCGCGCCGAAGGAAGACCCCGGGCCCGTCCGCCGCTCGCTCAGAGGGCAGAAGGCGGAGCCCGACGCAACGTACGCGGGCGGCGTGGACTACGAGCGGCGGGACGGGACGGTCATCCTCACGAACGGCACGTTCACCGGCGCGGGCGTCTCCTCGGAGGGCGCGCTTTTCGACCCCGGGCCGTCGCGCCCGACCGGGGACGTGCCCCTCGAGTCCGTCAACGCGAACGAGAGAGCGGACGAGGCGTTCATCGCGTTCCTTCGCGACGCGATGGCGACGCCGATGAAGGACGCTGAGAAGGTGGCGGAGGGGACGCGCCTCACCGCGAGCGCCTTCGCCGAATCGGTCTCGAAGACGCGACCGCGAAACGTCGCGCTCGCGCCGACGTCCGCGTCCGGCATCGTGAAAAGCGACCTCAAGCTCGCGGACGAGGGCGTCGCGAAGGTGACCCCGCGCGGGGTCACGCACCTGGACATGGCACCGTACGACGCGAGCGGACCGGTCGTCGTCGCCGCCGGCGACAAGGACGGAAACGTCGGGATCTGGCGCGTCGACGGCGCGTCCTCCTCGTCCGCGGGCGACGACGACGCGGACGGCAGCGAGGACGGCGTGATGTATTACCGCCCGCACGGGTCGTACATCTGCCACCTGAAATGGGGCAGAGGCGGCCTCGGCGGGAAGCTCCTGACGTGCGCATACGACGGCGCCGTCAGAGCGTTGGACGCGGAGAAGGGCGTCTTCACGGAGCTGTTCGTCTCCGAGGAGGACGACGAGTTCAGCGCGTGCGATTTCAGCGCGGACGGCCGCGCGATGCACCTGAGCGATAACCGAGGTAACTACTACGTCGTCGACGCGCGCACGGGAAAGATGACCTCCCCGGCGGTGATGCTCCACGAGAAAAAGATCAACACGGTGCACCTCGAGCCCGGCGCGGAGAGGCTCTTCGCAACGTCGTGCGGGGACCAGACCGTGCAAGTGTGGGACGTGCGGAAGACCGGGAAGGGGTGCAAGCCCGTGTCGCGCCTGCAACACACCAAGTCGTGCCAGGCGGCGTACTTCGCCCCGGACGGGAGCGGGAACTTGCTCACGACGTGCTACGACGACCTCTTGCGGATTTGGCGCCCGAAGGCGTCCCCGGGCGGCGGCTCGACCGCGATGAACGACGACCCGAAGTCCGCGACGAAGATCCGGCACAACAACCAGACCGGGCGGTGGGTGCTGCCGTTCCGCGCGGTGTGGACGCCCGGGTCGGACGGCGTCGTCGTCGGGTCCATGAAGCGCGAGGTGGAGCTCTTTGACGCGCAGCAAGGGTCGCTCACGAAGAAATTTTCCGACCCGGAGCGGATGACCGCGATCGCGTCGCGGTTCGCGGTGCACCCGACGCTGAATATCATCGCCGCGGGGACTGCGAGCGGGCGGATTCACGTGTTTCGCCGGTGATCGGCGATTGGGGGCTGGGGAGGGGGGATGGACATTTATTTGTTTCGCCGCAAACTCGCGCGCTTGTGAAAAGAAAAAATAAGAATTTGCTCGAGCATCTTGAAACCTCAGCGTCGTCTTAGGACGACGTGCATTAGCATCGACAAAGGTGAGCTGCCTAATTACCAGCGTGCTCAATCTCCGTTAGCGATACTGATGGACAGTTGCATCATCGGCTTCACGTGCGATCCTCGAGCGTCTTTCTTCGTCGTGTGAGAGTGCTCTCGTCAAAAAAATCGTCTTCTGTTTACGTCTTGTTCCTAAAAGAAAGAAATGAAAGCGCGCCTTCGAAAGGCGCCTACGTCGATTTGAACCACCCCTCCGGAACGAGGTTCCGGAACCACTGCCCACTCCCGAGCTCGGGCACCCTCGATCGCTGTCCGAGGACGTTGCTCAGCGCGGCCACCCTCTCGCGCAACTGCGCGACGTCCCAGTCCAGATCCGTGAACGTGTGCTGATAGATGAACCCGCGGTTGTCTAGTTTGTACTCGCTGATCCCGTCCACGTGCGCCTCCTCGGTGATCGATCCGACCAACCGAAGCTTCCCGATGATGCTCCATCGGACCTTGATCGTCCGCGTCCCGGACGTCCCCAGCGGGCTCCAGATCCGTTGCACCTGCACCTCGCTGTGCGAGAACAAAATCGACGCCGCGGTTCTCAGCCACTTCTGGCACCTCTTGTACTCTTTGATCCCGCTCGCGACGACGTGGCCGGGGTTTCTCCCGAACGACTGCGTCTCGTCGATCAGCCCGATGTCCTCTCGGTATATTCCCCACGTCAGGCTCTTCTCGAGCAACTGCGGGTAGTCCTCGCGCAGCGTTCGAATCGCCTCCCCCGACTGCGCGTAAAACTCGTCGTCTTTCGAACCCGACGGGTCGTCGCCGCTGCCGTTACCGGAAGAAAAAGACCCGTCGCCCTCGCCGTCCGTGCTGCTGTTTCTCGGCGGCTCCGCGATCGCGCTGAGCGACAGCGCGTCGAGCTGCGACCCCAACAGACGCGCCAAGTCGTCGCCCTCGAGCTCCCAGTCGTCGTCGACGCCGCCCCAGACCCGCCCCTCCGCGGCGTCGCGCTCGTTCCCGATCGGTCGCCGCGCGACCGCGGCCGCGGAGAACGCGAGCGGCGCGATCTGCGCGCGCGTCGACGCGCGCGTCAGTTCGAACTCCTCGAACCCGGTGCGGTCGTCGCGCATTCGCCCCGGCTCCGGGTCGGGCTCGACGGGAATCTCGAGCGTGACGCGCACCGCTCGTCCGCCGCCGCGGCACGCGGGGCACACGCGGACGCCGGTGTAGCCGCAGCTGCTGCAACCCTCGCCGTCGTCGCTCCAGCGCGTGCACGAGCACTCCGTCCGCCCGGTGCCCTCGCACATCGAGCACGGCTCGTTCGGATCCTCGAGATCTTCGTTCCTGTCGTCGCTTCCTCGCCCGGGCGCGATGCCGAGATCCTCGAGGCCGCCGGTGACGACGAAGCCGCCGAGGATGACCGCCGCGGCGCCAGCCTGCTGCGCGATCCAGTCCGCGTCGCCGATGTGCGCGTGGCACGCGTGCGACGGAAATCGCGCGGCGCGGCGGTTCGCGAGCGCGGGATGATGATGATGATGATGCGACGACGTGGCGTTCGTTGAGGCGGGAGTTCTCGCCCTCGTCCCCGCGCTCGCGCGCTTCCCGGGAAGCGCCGCGGGGACGCACGGCGCGGCGACGCACGCCGCCGCGGGCATCATGGTTCGCTTATCGACCGCTTATATCGCGCGTTCGCGGATAAAAACGCGACTCGTAAACGTCGAGCGCGTCGTTCGCGCGCGTCGTCTCGCGCGCGCCTGCGTCAATGCCAGCCCGACAGGAGGAAGCAGAAGTGGATCTTTCTGCGAACGCGCGCTTCTCGTTGGTCGAGAAGTTATTCCGCCCGCGCCGCGCCACCGCCGACGCCATGTCCGCCGCGACGTCGCCCGCTTCCGCGCCCGCGCGCTCGATTCGATGCCGCCATCGCGCGGTCGAGCGCATAGCGCGGTCCGCTCGCGCAGGTCCGCGGCGGTGCCGCGCCTCCGCGCGCGCGGGATGCGACGAACGCGCGTCCGACGCGGACGCGGCACGCTCGACATCGCTCTTTTCGCCGTCGTCGACGCGCGTCGCGTCGCTCTCGCTCTCCGTCGCCGCGGCGTCGGTGATGACGCTCGCGGCCGCGGCCGCGCCCGCGCTCGCAGATGACGCCGCCGCGGTGTTCAACAAGACGTGCGCCGGGTGCCACGCCGCGGGAGGGAACGTCGTCCAAGCCGGCGCGACGCTGTTCCCCGCGGACTTGCAGAGGAACGGCGTCAGCGACGTGGACACGATTTACGACGTGATCAGCAAGGGGAGGAATAAGATGCCAGGGTACGGCGAGGAGTGCGCGCCGAAGGGGCAGTGCACGTTCGGGCCTCGTTTAAGCGACGAAGACGTCCGAGAACTTTCGACGTACGTGTTGGCGCAGTCGAAAGAGGGGTGGAAGTAGAGGCGGGGCGTTCACAGGAGACTAGAGCTAGCTAGACATAGGATAAAACGTCAAGAAGGACTCTTTCTGCGACTCGCGTCGACTCCCTCGCGCTCGTCAAACCGACTTTGTCGACTTCCGGACCATCGCGTAGTACTCGTCGAAGCCAGGACCTCCGCCCGGGTCCTTCACGCTGCATCGTTCGGCGACTTCGTACCCGAACCGTCGATACACCTCTCGGTTCTTTTCTCCGCTGCACTCGAGGTAACACGGAAGTCCCTTAGCGTCCGCGACTTTCGACACCGTTCGCATCAACTTCGAGCACAGCTTCTGTCCCTGCGCGGACGGGTCCACGGCCATCATCGCGACGTACACGTGCCGAAGTCCGCTCTTCGAGCCGTGCCTCTTGTGCATCGCATTCGTCAACTTGTCCGCCGCTTCGAAGCGTTTCTGGCACCCGGCGACGTCGCCAAACGGCGGCAAGCCGTGACGACACACCATGTTCCACACCACGCTCAACGTCGATCCGTACGGCTGAGCGTTCCCGTGCAGGAGGTGCACGACGCATACCGCGCCAATCTCGTCCGAATCCTTCTTGCGAGCGTGCAAGATCGCTTTACGAGGTCCCCCGCGAAGAGTTTCCCGGTGGATGAACTTCGAGATGTACGCGAAGATCTTCAGCCGCTTCGGGTCGTCCCACCTCCCCGACACGTCCGGGCCGCACGCCCAGTCGAGACACAGCTCCGGCTGCGTCGTTGGCGTCCCAGAGAACGAGCGCGTGCACACGTCCTCGGCGGCACGCGCGAGCGACGCGCCGTCTGTTGGCTCGGACGTCGCGCGCTCGTCGTCGTTGACGCGCATTTTCGCTCCGCGGTTCGCCTTCGCGTCGATTCTGCTCACGCCGCCGTCGGGGGTGAGGTACTCGTCCCAGACGTTCGGCTTGGGCGCGCTCGTGCACATGACGCCGCCACGCGATGCGCGCGCGGTCGTGTCGACGCGCGTCGTGGTGTGCGAGCGAGAGCGAGAAACCGCGAACGTTTTGGATGCCTCGCTTCTCGAGTATTTTTAGATGTCGCGCGTCGACGACGCGTCTGGTCCTTCATCGTCCTCGCGCCGTCATAAGTGAACGCGCGCGGCGCGGACGCCGAACACCGCGCGCGGGCCACGTCGCGGACGCGCGCGCTTCCATCCGCGATGGTGTTCGGGTTCGGCCGCGGGTCTAAGACGCCCTCCCCGGAGGCGAAGCGCGAGGAAGCGAACGTGCTCTTCGCGCGTCTCGCGAGCGGCCAAGCGTGCGCGTCGAGCGACGGCGACGGCGCTTCGACGACGGCGACCGTCGCGGCGGACGCGAAGAACGCGTCGTCGGAGGTCAACCCGAGCAACATGATGCCGAAGCCGAACCAGAAGCGCGCGTCGAGGCAGCGCGAGAAGCTCTCGACCGATCGCGAGTCGTCCACGATCCCGATAAGCGAACGAAACGACGCGCTCCCCGAGCATCAACGCGACGCGACGACGACGTGGCAGTACCCGAGCGAGCAGATGTTCTTCAACGCTATCGCGCGCAAGGGTTGGCGGCCGAAAGAGGAGGACATGACGAACGTGATCAAGATTCACAACGCGGTGAACGAGCGGTGCTGGGGCGAGGTGATGAAGTGGGAGAAGCTCCACGCGCGCGAGTGCGACTGTCCTAAGCTTCTGAAGTTTCGTGGACGCCCGCGAGAGTACAGCCCGAAGGCGAGGCTTCTGAACTTCCTCGGGTTCAAGCTCCCGTTCGATCGGCACGACTGGGTCGTCGACCGGTGCGGCGTCGACGTGCGGTACGTCATCGACTTTTACAACGGCAAGTCGAACGACCCGCGCGCGCCGATCGCGATGCACTTGGACGCGCGGCCGGCGTTGGACTCGTTCGGGGCGTTCTTCGACCGGGCGTACTTGCAAGGGAAGTGGATGATGTCCGGAGGGTGGATGAACGGACGGTAGGTAACACGCGCGCGAGACGTAGCGCTCGAGAGGGGGGGGGTCGATTAGCGGCGGCCGACGGCGGCGTTGGTACGAAAATACATCTTGGTTTCAAAGCACCTCGACGCGCGGCGTGACGCGCGAACGCTGGATCGAATCAGTAGCGGCCCGGCCACGTGCCGTTCTCGCGCTCCTCGTCCCACTTCTCAACCCACTCGGTCGGGCACAGAGAGCGGTAGTACTTCGCGTACGTCTCGCACTCCTCCGCGTCCTCGCCCTGCTGCGCCTTGCACTTGTGGAACTCGTTGTAGCGCGTGTAGCAGTGCTTCGCCTGGTTCTGCTGCGGGAAACGCGGATCGAAAGGAGCCGTCGCGAGCTTGATCTCCGGCTTGGGAGCCTCGGCCTCCTCCTCCTCCTCGACGGGGACCTCCTCCTCTTCGACGACCTGGTGGTGGTGCGGAGACGAGCGAGCGCGTCAGCGGGGACGTTCGATCGTGGTCGCGGAAGCGAAAGGAGAGAGACGTCTCAAAATTTAGGGTTGATCGCGCGCGGTGCCGCCTCGATCGCGCGCGAGGGACGCGAGGGTCGCTGGCGCACCTCCTCGGGAGCAGCCTCCTCGCAACGCGACGTAGTGGCGCCCATGGTTTCGAGTTCCGATTCACGAACAAAGAGCTTGTTCGGTGGAAAGTGACGACGGTGTTGTGAAGGGACGAAGCAAAGACCGTAGCAGCGAGCGAGAAGACCAGTGCGAGAAACGGAAACTCGGGCTTCGGAGCTCGAAAAAAAAATCGGGAAAAAAAAGAGTCGAGAAATCAAACAAGCGTCCAGCCTCGCGTCTGGTAATCTGGTCGTGTTACACGCGATTTCCGGCCGCGTCTCGCGCACTACACCGCGCGCAAGCAGCGATCCCGTGTCGCGGTCTGGTCATCGCGTTCACATTCGCTCGGGCGGATCCGTCGGAGTATCGTGCGTACTTCACACGCCGTAGGCGCCTCTAAGGGGCTTCTTCGCGCGCGCGTTCGCCGCGCACGACAACGCGCGAGGGGCGAATTCGTCGCACAATCGCCCACACGAATCCAGGGAGCGACGGACGACGTAACTGAACTGGAGAACCACCGGGGAGGATGATCAAGGCTTTCATCGTGGTGAACAACCACGGTATGCGCTCGAACCCGCGCGTCGTCGCGATCTCGTTCGCCCTCGCGCCCGCGCTCGTCCGTCCGTCTCTCGTGCATTCTCTGAATCGATCTCTTCCTCCGTTTTTCCTCCGTCTCGCAGCCATGGTGCGGCTGTGCCGCTTCTACGAGCAGCTCGGCGTGGACAAGCAGGCGGACCTGTGTCAGACAGTGTATAAGATGGTGACCGGGCGACCGGACCACCTGTGCTCGTTCGTGGACGATGAGAAGACGTTCGGCCCGGACACGAAGCTCGTGTACAGGCACTTCGCGACGCTGTACTTTTGCATATTGAGCGATCGATCCGAGTCCGAGCTCGCGATGTTGGATCTGATTCAGGTGTACGTGGAGACCTTGGATAAGGTGTTCGAGAACGTGTGCGAGCTCGACTTGATCTTCAACTCGCCGAAGGCGTACACGGTGCTCGACGAGACGATCGTGGGGGGGTTAGTTCTCGAGATCAACAGTCAGAAGGTGATCGGAGTGTACGAAGAGTTGATGAAATTGGAAAAGGCGCAGGCTTCGATGTTGGAGAGGGTGACAGGGTAGGGTGAGTGAGAGCGGGTTGAACCTTAACTTAGAACGGGCGGATTGTGCATCTATCATCTATGGTGACGAACAGAAGAGACGCGCACGCGCAAGAACTAGAAAAGTCGTGCCAGAACAAACAAGCCCCGACTGTAATTTGAGCCTTGAAATCGATATTTAATCGATAATTTTACTGGTCACGTAGTTGTCGACGATCGATTCGAAACCATAGAAAAAACGCAACTTAACCTGATACGTTGTACTGAGTGCACGATGAAAACCTGACTTGGAAAGAAATAATAACAACTTTTAGAAAGGGTTCGAGGAACTTGATAGAAAGAAGACAACACTAAGTACACGTGGACTAAATGTAACGAAGCGTACCTGGGAAACAAGTTAGAATAACCTGCTGATGAAATTCGCGGAAATATGCTCGGTGGTGCGAACGGATAATCGATATAAGTACACGAGAACGTAAAGAGGGTCACTTGAACAAACTTGAAGGCAAAGAAGGCGACATTTGCAGATTTCTCCAGGAACTAGACAGGACTACAGTAACTACGTGTAGTCTGACAACCAAATCAAAGAAAAAATCGGCAAGCTGCTATTTTCTTAAGATTTTCGCGCGTGATCGTCCAGCAAAAACTGGAAAATAAGTCGGAAAACTTCCTTCAGAGTGCTTTCATCGGAACAATCTTCGCAGTATTGGCAAAGAACTGCAAATTGCTGACAAATATCGATGAAGTTAGTCTATCAGCAGTCTTTAAAAGCCTTCAAAGTTTAAACGCTGAGCTCATGAATCGACAAGCTTCCGCAATTCGATGACTTAGAGACGAGCTTAACATGAATTCAAAAGATGCTCTACAAATTCAACAGATTTCGATGTAGGAAACAGCAAAGTAGTGCATTATTATCCATAGAATCAATACAGAAAGATTGCTGAAGTTATCAAGCAAATCGAAACCCTCTCCTTACATCATGTCTGCTTGATGATGGTTCATTGCAACGCAGCTAAATTATCCTTCAGAGAGAATAATAAGTTACAACTTAGACGTTTAGGGTTCAAAACGACTTTCTTAAGATGTGAATACTGTTATTGTGAGTCTGATTCACAATCAGAGTGCGTCAGTTATTGCGGTCCAAGTTCACTTTCCTCCTGGAAGCAGCCAGGTTCGGATAGCCAACCTTGTTTAAGCAATGTTAGTGATATAACAACCACTTATCAGTTATTCTTGCGCCTTTGCTACATTTTCCGGGTCCTTTTACCTCAGAAAGTTCCTCAATTTCTTTTGATGCAGAGATTCTCGCGACGTAGGTGTTTCAAGACATTACCTCGTTCGTTTACTTCATGTTAACCGCATTGCACTGTTTACATTTACACATCTGACGACATTTTGTATCGTGGTGATGCTAAGATCGTTGCGTGCGAGTGCTTCCCGCATCGACAACTTATTCTTCTTTTTTCCACGAACGATATGGTTCGTTTATTTGATTCGTTCCTCGAGCGGTTTTCTGCTTTGTTTTTTATATTTGTTTAGCGTTCGCGCTTACAATTGTTGATTGTTTCGCGGCGGCTTTATCGCTCATTCATTGTTACTTTACGAGCGTGTTTTCATATTCGCGAGAAGTTATCTAGGACTCACAATACTTTCCATGAAATGACCGTCGCCATACCTTCTTCTCTCGCTCGAGTCTGCATCCTTCACGCTTTGATTCGTATAATCCCACCTGCTTTATTTTCGCTTCTGCTAGGCTCCCTTCGTCACGCAGAAGTGATTTTTTAAAGCAATTTTTGTTGTGCTTTCCGCGTGTGTGTGAAAACGAAATAAAAATCGCGGTGAAGGCATTTCCACACTGATTTTAATCGCATTTCCGCATGCGTCAAGTCTTTTCAGGGAAAGTCAACTTACCTTTCGAAAAGAGTCCGAACTCTGAATTGGTTTGAAGCTTATTTCGCTCCGATTAATTTAGTCTTCTAAGCTACACTACTTTTGCAACTAAGGGCTAAGTGCTGGTTTGAAACTGTCTCGAGTTTCTACTGTCCTTTTGTCTTGGTCTTGGTCTTTCGCAACGCGGACAGCGAAAGAACCTCAGGCTCGTCTTCCTTGCCTTGATCTTTTTTCGGTGTCTCCGGTGGCGACGTGCCCTGCTTCTTAGTTCCGAAGCAAAGACATCCTCCCCCCCCACCAGCCATCTCCTTCTTCTCCCTCTTCTCTATCTTCGACCGAACCTTTTCCATCTGCCTCAGCGTCTTCTCTCTCTCCAACTTTTTCTTCGCGCGTTCCTCCTTCGTGAGTTCCTCCGCTTCGTCATCCGACGGCAGTGCGAGTTCGATGTCGTCCGGATCGAGTGCTTCCGAGAGGTCCCACTTCAGCACATGCATCTGACTCGACAATATATCCTCTACAATTTTCAAGCTGTCGCAAACGTCCAGGAGTTTGACGAGCATCTCGTCGTGCACGGTGTCGTCGTCTTCCTCGGACTCGAACAGAGACGCGAGCCAGTTCGTGTTCGGATCGAACAAGCAACCCGCGGGGCCCGCGTTCGCGGACGGTAACTTGTTTTCAAACTCCGTCAGCATCGTCTTCGCCCACCGCACCTCCTTAAACATGGCGTCCGTGACGCGTCCTTTCAACACGCGTTCCGATCCCGGCAGGTCGCGTAGCTCGTCTGTCATCTTAAGGAACTCAACCACCCCGTCGTGAAAATCGCTCAGCTCCTCGGGTATCTTTCGCGTCAGCACCGTGAGCGTCGCGATTGCGCTGTCGCTCAGGATCGACGCGTCCTGTACGTATTCGACGTATCCTCCCAGCGATTTGTCCACGATCGCTTTGGCGTTTTGCTTCTTGGTGTTAAAGTTCAACCTCCGCCCCGCGTCCTCGTCCGTCTTCTCCGATTTTGCCTGGTACATCGTGCTCGTCGGCGAGCGGTACTTCGACCGCGGGGGTGAGGCGGGGGTCTTTATCGGATCCCGCCTCACCTTGTACATGATCGTCGCCGCCGCGTGCCCTTCCCAAGAAGGTCACGGAGCAGCGCACGCGTGCGCAATCGACTGGAGTTGTTGACGATCCGGTAGGGTTGAAAGAAAAAAATCGGCGCTAAAACTGTCTGTTCGGGGTTGGTTTGATTAAAAGCTGATTTTCCAGTGATTTTCCCTGGATTTTCCCTCGAGTCGCTGATTTTCGGCTGGCAGTAGTTCACCACTTATGGCCAAGAACGAGGAGAGGAAAAGTTTCTCCGCCGCCGGCCAGAGGCGCGAGCGAGAGACGACGCCCCGCTCGGGACCGCGATCGTTCGTGTAATCTAATCTTCAATTTTCGATTCTTCTACACCACGTTTCCGCGGTTAACTAAAGAACTAAAACAACTCCTCACGACAGCGGCAACCCGCGGTCGCTTCCCCTGCCTCGCGACCGTCAATCATATCAGATTCATAACGAAGCCTGCGACTTTTTGCCACACGAACGCGACCCCATAGATCTCGAAGAACGCGCAAAAGTTCCACAGGCTGTGCAACACGATCGGCGCTAATATGTTCTTCGAGCGAATGTACACGACGCACATCAGCATCCCGAGCACGGTCAGAGGAAGAAGCCTCTCCATGCTGAAGTGCGCGGCGGCGAACAGAAACGACGACAAGACGATCGCGACGTCCATGCGGAAATACCGCGTGAGCGACGGCATCAGGAACCCGCGGAATATCATCTCCTCCCACACCGGGGCGACGAGGGACACGACGCCGATGTAGAAGCATACCGACAGGATGTCGTTCGATATCATCACCTGCTCCCACGGCGACATCGGCAAGGACGCGCTCGACACCGGCATCATCGCGCTGTTCAGGTTCACGGTCGCGGTGACGATGGGAAACGCGACGCAACCGCGTAAGATCTCCATCCACCACCGCCCTTTCAACGCGATCGGGAACCACCGCTTCGGGAGCGGGAAGTACGGCCGCAAACACTGATAGAGCACGCCGAGCCCGACGAACATCTCGACGACGTCCGCGGAGAGGGAGTACAACGCGAGTCCTCGCGCGCTGAGCTCGCGGCAGTTGAACCCCAACCACGTGACGACAGACGGCAGACCGACGTGCCCGACGAGCAAAAAAGCCGCGAACCACAGGATCATGACCTGGAACACCAAGCCCGCGTTCCACGGGACGTGACAGAACCCCTCCCTGGGGAGGTCCAGGTACTTATCGATCCAGCACGGTATCCGATGCGGCGTCTCCGCGTCCGCGTTCGTCGTCTCGGACGCTTCCAACGATCTCTCCTCCCCCTCCTCGCTGTCTCCCTCTCCCTTCGGCGCGACCGCGTCCCCGAACGCGCCGACGGTGCGCGACGCCGATCGCCGACACGCGTTCCCCATCGCGAGTCGCGCCCGATGGCCTCGACGACGCCCGACCTCGCGCCATACCCCCAACGCCTCCCGGCTTGGAGCGGACGCTCGCGCGGCGATGCGGTCACGACTACAACGCCTTAGTTCGGTCCCGCGCCCGCCGCTTGCCGTCGTCGTCGCGACGGCGACGAAGCAGAGCGACGCCATCCCGCCCGGGCGGCGCGATCTGAGTGGATAAACTTTTTGGAGTGCTGCTTTCGGTTCGCGAGTCCTCACCAGGCTGCGTTCGGCCGAGGATGCGCGCACACTACGAGCGCGCGGGGACGAGTTTGAGCGATGCGCGATTCAGCATCACGAGCGGCGCGATTCTCTTCGATGCGAATCGCGTTCAGACGCGGTATGAATACGACATCAGTGTTACAACGGCGCGCGTCCGCGCGGCGGGCGCGGGGAAAAGAGCGACGACTTCGCGCTCGTCGTCGTCCCTCACCGGTAGAGCGACTCGGACGCGAGGTTCTTCGCGATCTCCTTCTCCCACTTGTCGCCGTTATCCAACAGCTTCTCCTTATCGTACATCAACTCCTCGTGCGTGTACGTCGCGTACTCAAAGTTCGGCCCCTCCACGATCGCGTCCACCGGGCACGCCTCCTGGCAAAACCCGCAGTAGATGCACTTCGTCATGTCGATGTCGTACCGCGTCGTCCGTCGGCTCCCGTCCTCTCGCTCCTCCGCCTCGATCGTGATCGCCTGCGCGGGGCAGATCGCCTCGCACAGCTTGCACGCGATGCACCGCTCCTCCCCGGTCGGGTACCGCCTCAGCGCGTGCTCGCCGCGGAACCGCGGCGAGAGCGGCCCCTTCTCGAACGGGTAATTGATCGTCACCTTCGGCTCCCAGAAGTACTTCATCGCGAGCGACATGCCGCGGAACATCTCGGTCAGGAACAGCGTCTGCGCGCTCGCGTCGATGACTGCGCGACGAGGGGGGAGGTAAGTGGTCAGCGCCCGCGTTCGACGCGCGATCGATCGCGGGAAAGACGAGGACGCGCGTGGGGAAAACGATCAGATCAAATCAAGACGCGGGTTTCTTCGCTTACCCCCGGTGAGATCGTTCGCCCGCGCGGTGCGCGAAAGGCTCGCGATCGACTCCGGCACGGGCACGTTGCCTGCGAGACGACGAGGAAAGGAATCGTTAGCGACCGTGGACGAGCGCCGAGAGGTGTCGAAGTCGCAGACGCGCGGACGAGCGCGCACCTTTGTTGTCCCTCTGAGGCGCGGGGGCGTCGGCTTGGCGCTCCGCGCTCGAGTGGAAGGTGTGAGAGGAGAGCCCCCCCCAATTCGCGGCCGCCGCGCGCGCGGCCCCGAGCCGACAAAGGCTGTTCGACGCCTTGCGAAGCATCGTCGCGACCGTGGGCGGTGTTTACGACCCGCGGTTTGCAAACCCGGCGCTCTCGCCTCGGTCGCGGGCGCGACGCACTGACGCGAGGACGAACCCTAAACTCGCACACTCGAAAGGTCGCGTGACCAACGAGCGCGAGCGCGACCACCGACCGCCTGGCCGCTCGCGCGACGACCTGAGAAAAATTGAATCGCGAAGCGACAGGTCGAGCCGCACTGTCCCAACGCGTCCCAACGCGTCGCGCCCCCCGCCGTCCCGCACCCCGCGCGCCGACGCGCGGTCGGCCTAGATGACCGACGCGGAGATACCCACGCACCTCGCGGGCCCGCCGGACGTCCCCGACAAGCGCGTCTTCGAGCTCAAGGCGAAGATGAACGCGCTCACGAAGCGTCTGCTCGCGGCGGAGAAGCAGCGCGACGACGCGGTGGAGGCGAAGACGACGACGAACGCGGCGATGAAGTCCGCGGCGCGCGAGGCCGAGGAAGCGCTCGTCGCGACGCGGCATCGCGCGGAGCAGGCGGAGATCCTCGCGAGGGAGAACGCGGCGCGCGCGATCGACGCGGAGACGCGCGCGGCGGACGCGGAGCGAAGAGCGGCGCGCGCGGAGGCGACCGCGCGCGAGCAGTCCTCGCTCGTCGCCGCGCTTCGGGAGGAGATCGAGACCCTCAAAGCCGTGGGCGTGACGCTGGATGACGACGTCGACGTCCTGCGCGCGAAGGTCACCGAGCTCGAGGTCGGCGTCCGGACGTTCTCGCGGTCCTCGCAGACGACGGAGGAGGCGGAGGCGGACGACGCGCGACGCGGCGGGGGACGCGCCGCGGGGGGAGGAAGGGAGGGACTGAAAGACCGCGCCGCGAGCTGGATGGCGCGTCTCGACCGCGTCGGGTCGGACCCGCTCGCGGGGAAGGAGAACGAGGTCGTGCGGTCCGCGCCGGACTTCTCTGGAGGCGGCGCGATGACAGCTGTCACGACAGCTGTCACGACGCGAGAAAACGAGCCGAGGCGGACGGCGACGAGCGCGCGCGACTCGCACGCGAGACGATCGCTGTCGCGACTCTCTCGAGGATCCCTCGCGATTCGAGGATCCGTGGCGTCCAGAGGAGGGAGCGGGAGCGCGACGAACCGGGACACGATATCGTCGTACGGCGACGACGCGTACCTGTACGACGACTACGACACGCAGTCGGAGTACTCGGACCGAGACGTCGGCGGCGGCGGCGACGATCAGTGGGCCGGGGACGATCCGAACTGGACCGCGGCGTGATAGACGCGCGATCGATCGTTAGTAGAAGTAGGTAGCGCGCGTTCTTTATTCGTTTCGTCTTTCTTTCGTCGCGGACCGCGTCCGCGTGTTCACGGGAGGGAGTCGTTCTCGCCGACGCGCTCACGCGGACGGAGACGCCGGCTCCTCCTCCTCCGTCGGCTTCGCGGCTTCCGCGACGATGTCCGCGGGGACGGTCAAGACCGGGGACGGGCAGTACGCGAGCGCGTAGGAGGAAACGCTCCCGAGCATCGCGCGCTTCAGGTTCCCTGTCAGTCCTCGCGTGCCCATGACGAGGAAGTCGATCGCCCCACCTTGATCTTCGACGTAGTCCACGATGTTGTCGCGCGTGTCTCCTTTCATGTCCAAGAGCACGGACGCGCATAGACCTTCGTCGTCTCTTTGAAACTCCGACAACGCCGCCATACACTCGTTCGCCGCCGCGGTCGCTTTCAGCGTCGCCTCCGGGTTCTCGCTCGCGGCGCTGTGAAGCAAGTGGACCTCGTCTCTCGGCTTCAACGCGTTCGACATCGCCCATCGCACGAGCGCGACGCTCTGAGACGTGCCGTCGATCGCGATCGCGACCTTCCGCTGCTTCCCCGGGGTCGTCATCCCGAGGTACGCCGCGCCGACGGTGTCGGACGTCAGATCCGGGATGTCCCGGTACTTCCGAGAGCGAACGACGAGGACGGCGATCGGCGCGTGCTGCGTGACGTACAACGTGACGGAACCGAGGAACATACGGCGCCAGCCCTGCCTGCCTCGGCATCCCAGGAGCATGATCGCGTCTCGCGGGCACTCCATCGTCGCGAACTTCACGAGCGCGTCCCCGGGGTCATGCGTCGTCTCGATCAATAAGATGCGGTGCTCCATTCCCCGGACGTCGTGCGCTATCTCCGACGGGAGCCAGTCCTTCGCGAGCGACGCGTCCGAGAGCGTCTTCACCGTGTCCATGGGGATCCACCCGCTCGTCTTTTGCTTGCACTTCAGGAGCCAGATGTTGTCGCTCGGGAGGAAGAAGTTGTCTCTCGCCCAGCGCCACGAGAGCTTCGTGTCGATCGCGTCCTTGTCGCCGACTGCGACGCGAGGGAGGAGGAGGATAAGCGACGAGGGAAAAAGCAACGACGACGAGGGAAAAAAACGACGACGCCGCGCGCGACGCCACGGACGCACCGGCGTAGAGGACGGTCCGCGGGGTCTCGAACGTCATCTCCTCCATCGAGGGCGAGCGCGCGCAGGGTGAGGAGGGCATGGTCGGGTGCGATCGCGTGCACGCGCGGGGGGGAGAGTGACGACGCCGCGCGCGCCGCGGTCGTCGAGAAGGAGACGAGCTCTCGGAACGTACGAAAGCTGCTGACGCGTCAAAAAGAACTCCCTTCTCACGTGAGAACGCGCGGGAGGACGACGACGCGTGGAGGCGACGCAAACCAGTTGTAATCAATACACTACGTTCGCTCGCCGATAATCAACGGCGGCCGCCCCGACCGCCACCCCGGCCACCCCGACCGCCCTGCTGGTGACCGCCGCCGCGACCTCCTTGCTGGAAGCCGCCTTTGCCGCCGTTGTTCTGGCCGCCTCTGCCGCCGTTGTTCTGGCCGCCGCGACCGCCGCGGTTTTGGTTATGGTTTTGCCCGCCCGCGGCGCCGAACGTGTCCATGTCGAGCCTGCGCATCTCCGCGAACCGCGACCGACCGCCAGTTTGCGTCGCCTGCTGCTGTCTTTCGAGCGCTTCGCACGACATCGAGTCGAAGAAGTCGTCCTTGACGTACGTCGGCGCGGCCTCTTGTTGCAACCGCATCGCCTCGGCTTCTTTCCGGAACTTCGCGAACGCGCCGACAAAGTCAAAGTCCTCCGTCGGGACCGCCATCCGCGTCGGGAGGAGGCCGTCGCCGCCCACGTTCGGTCGCGGGACGGGCCCCCGTCCTCCGGCGCGCGGCGCGGGAACGCCCGCGCCGCCTCTGCCGCCCCGTCCGCCGGCGCGGGGGGCGGGCACCGCGCCGCCGCCGCCGCCGCCGCCTAGCGTGTGCTGCGGCACCCTCGCGGGGACGCCCTTGGGCTGCGCTCCGCCGCCGCCGCCGCCGATCGCGGCGGCGAAAGACGTCGGTTTCGCCTTCGGCACAACCGTCGGCGCGGGTTTCGGCGCCGCCTGCCTCTGCTGCTGCTGCTGCGGGGGCGGACGCGTCTGTCGCGCGGGCGCCGCCGCGGGGGGCGCCATCACGGGCTGGCGGTTCCACGGGTTCGCCGGCGCCGCCGCGGGCGCGGGGGCCTGCTGCTGACGCGGAGGCTGCTGCTGGTACTGCTGCTGCGGCGGCGGCTGCTGGTACTGCTGCTGCGGCGGCTGCTGCTGATACTGCTGCCGCGGCGAGGCGGGGGAGAGAAAATTCATTCAGTCGGTCGATTGTTCGTTCCTCGAAAGAGAGCTGAGGGGCGTGGACGCTCTCGCGCGCCGATCGCCGCGCGCGTCGCGCCCCTCCGCGCGATCGCGCGCGGGCATCGGCGCGCACGCGCGGGGAAACCAAACGGCCGCGCTCGCACCTGCATCGGCGGCGCCATGCGCTGCTGCTGGACGGGCTGCTGGACGGGGGGTGCCGCCGCGGGAGCCGCGGCGACGGCCTGGGATTCACGCGAGGGGAGGGAGGATCGGGGTCAGCTCGCGGACGTGAATCGCGCCGATCGACGCGTCGCCGCGCGATCGCGCGCGCGTGGAACGCTACGACACGACGCGGATGGGACGAAACGAGAGATCGCGCACCTGATCCATGGTCAGGTCCTTGATGTCGCTGCCGCGGAAGATGATGTAGTCGTAGATCTCCGTGGACTGCGGGATCTGCGGGCCGTTCTTCTTCCGTCCTTCCGTGCCGAAGGATCTCACTGTTCGATGCGACGGCGGGGTAGGGAACGTCAGCGCGTCGCGTGACGAGCGAAGCGGTGGAAATCATAGGATGAACGCCCGCACGCGTATCGTCGACGCGTCGATTTCGGGAAGGATCCGCGGGCGATCTGTTTCAGCGTCGGATGCGCGGGATCGCGGGGGGACGGACCATTCTGAAGCGCGAGCGACGAGTCCACGGTGTCGATCGTGTACAAAATGCCCTCGTATCTGATCTCGCTCTTGGAGATCAGGCTGATCTTGCTGCCGATGTATTGCGCCGCCATTATGGGCGCGTTGCGTGTCGTGCGCGCGCGGGAATGCCCCTCCGGACGACGCGGTAGTTCGGCTGGCCTGGCAGGCGGGAGCCGTGAAGTCGTCTATGTTTTCGAACCGCTCTCGTACACACCTCCCCGCGCGAAGCGATGGAGACGTCGAGCACGACCGTGCGGCTGGCGTCGCCGGTCACGTCGACGCTCGTCGCGCACGCGATGAAGGAGGTCGTCAAGTTTCTGTTCTTCGTGCGGCAGCAGACGCCGTCGTCGTACGACGAGCTCCGGACGTGGTTGCTGGCGCGTCCTCGATCCCAACACGACGTCGTCGCGACGACGACGACGACGATGACATCTGACATCGCTTCCCCGCTTCTCTCCTCTCTTCCAGGACGCGGTCGGCCCTGAGGCCATCGGCGCGCGTTCGACAGACGCGCACGACGACGCCGTCGTCGAATCCCCCGGCGAGAAACGGAAACGACGCGTCACGTCGAGCGAGCGCGCGGCCGTCAAGTTCCTGAAAGATTTCGACGCGATGCTGGCGGCGTTGACGCCGCGAGCGCTCGAAGCGTTCGACGTCACCGAGGTCGCGGTGTTCTTAGGGTCGACGCCGCTCCGCCCGCGGGAGATACACGCGTTCAAGCTCGAGTCTGTGCGCGGACGGTACGACGCGCCGACGACGCGGACGGACGGCTGGGACAAGGCTCTGAGCAACGCGGGGCGCAAAGCCGTGCGCGAGTGCCTTCCGACGCTCGCCGGGCTGCCCGCGTGCGACGCCGTCACGCGCGCGTTTCTCATGATAAGAGGGAAGGCGATGGACGAGCCGCCGGAGGGGTTTCTCCCGAAGCGAGGGTTCAAGCCGCTGACGCGGTCGACGAAGGTGCGCGCGGAGTTTGACTTTCGTCGCAAGGACGACGACCGCGCCGGCGACGAGGAAGACGGCGACGACGACGACCAGGCGGTGTGGTACCAGCGCGCGGTCGTCGTGAAAGGCTTGCGGACGTGACGCGACGAAGACGAGTTCACGAGAGTCTTATTAGCGTACTGTATTACGTATGAAAAGAATAGTCTAGCTCTAGCACCTAAAGAGAATAGAACACCTTATAGTAGCAATATCACCAGGCAAACAATGCGCCTCGCGCGTCAGTCCGACTTCGCCGACTTTCTGCGTCTCATCGTCCGCGAGAACGGCCCCATGGAAGGATCCATGATGTATTCGAAGATCACCTTCGTCCACGACGTGTGGTACTTCAAAGTATCGTAATATTCCGGCGCGATTTCGCGGATTTTGTGCAGCCTGCTCCCCGGCACCTTCGGGAAGTCGTGGTGCTCGTTGTGGTACCCGACGTTGTACACGAGGAAATTGAGCGGGCCGTAGTACGAGTACGTCTCCTGTCCGGGCTCGAAGACGTAGTGCTCGGAGATGAAATGCCCCGCGATCGGGTGCAGACCGCCGCCGAGGAACACGGAGAGGAGGAGGTACAGCATCGCCCTCGGGCCCGCGAGGTACACGAACGCGAAGTCGAACCCGACCTGCGTGACGAGGTTGAGACAGTCCCACGCTTTCATCGGCTTGGGAGACACCAACATCGGCCGAAGCGCGTAGAAGAAGAGCTGACCCATGACCCACACCGTCTTCAGGAGCGCACCGCCGACGGAGAACACCGCGGCCTCGCCCTTCGTCGGGATATCCGTGTCCACGCCATCGTGACCTTGGAACAGGTGGTGCTCCATGTGGTACCTTTTAAACGCCACGGAGAACGGGATCCCCACCGGGAGGTTCGCGAACAACCCGAGCGCGCGGTTCGCGGTCGTGTTCTCGAACACCAAGTTGTGCGACAGCTCGTGGTTCGCGAGGAACAAGTTCGCGGTGGCGAAACCGCCGAGGCTGTACGCCGCCAACACGAGCACGGGCATCGGCGCGTTGTTCCCGAGGTAGTACGCCGCCGCGAGCTGCGTAAAGACCACCGCCACGATCTGAGGGAACGACCACATGTCGGCGCCGTACAGGTCCTTGATCTGCGGGTACTTCGCGAGGATCTCGCGACGGCGCCTCGCGTGCGGCTCCTGCGGCGAGCGCGCGGGGTGGGTCGAGAGCGGAGGTCAGTCGAGGGTTCGAGCGCTCGCGACGGCGGCGTTCGACGATCAACCGTCGCGAAGAATAATAATGTCGTCGTTCGGATCTGGAGAGCGAACGGAAAGATACGCGGCCTCGGGGGATCGACGCGAGCGACGGGCGCGCGACGACGACGCCGTCCGCGCGCTCGCGCCGAGAACGGATTCACGTGGGCATCGTTGGAGTACGCACATCGTCTTTGCTCCAGTAGAAGTCTCCCTTCGTCTTCGCCTCGAGCGCGCCGCTCGACATCTTGAAATCAACCGACGGCGCGTGTCCCTCACTCAGATTAGAATAAAGTGGCGCGTGTCGACGTCACCGATCGGTACGGCGCGAAGAGCGCGAGGCGCTCGCGCGCGCGCGACGGCACGACTCGACGCGAGAATGCGACCGATATATGCGCGTGAACGACTGGCGCGGGCGTTCGCTTCGCCCGGCTCGCGCGCGGGTTGTGTTGGGCGCGTACGTTTCCCGCGTCCAGTCGTTTCGAGCGGCACACGTGCGCTTCGGTTCGTAATGTCTGGCCGCAATTTTCCCGCTGCCCGCGGATCTTTACGTATCCGTACACTACGTGTACACGTTTTCTGCTACTGTATGGGTTTTTTGTCTTGATGAATCGAATAGCTGAGCGTCATTTTATGCGGCGTTTCAAGCGGGGACGGGCGCTCGGCGGGTCCGCTGCGGGACGCCGCCGGGACGGACGCCGCGCCGCGAACAAAACGTTCTAACGCGCGTGCCATTATTACACAGACTACTACATCGCACGCGGACGACGCCGCGCGCTGCGGGTCCCGCGTCTTGGGACGGCGACGCGAAAGCGAAGACCGTCTCCGCGCTCACCGCCGCTCTCTTCGCTTCTTCCGCTTGTCCCGCGCGTCCCCGTCCAAAGGGTCGTGCACGTTTTTCAAGTCGTCGTACTGGTCCTGGAAGTCCCACAGCTGCGAGAGGAGGCGGAGGGGACGTTCGGAGTGGGTTCGTTCGTGAGTGGGGACGCGCGCGGGAACGGGAGCGGCGCCCGTCGAGAAAATGTTGGCGGCCGCTGGCCTCGCGCGAGGAAAAAAGTGTGTGCGTGGGCGCGGGGGCACGCGTCGACGGCGGGTCGTCGACGTACCGCGTCCTCGTCCTCGTCCTCCACGCGGTGCCCGTGCTTTGAGTGCGCTCGCATCGCCTTGATGATGTGCACTGCGAGGTTTTAAACGGAACGAAATCGCGCGTCAGTCCGCGGACGCGACGCGAGGGACGGAGAGAGAGGGAAGGGGCGGGGCGCGCGGGACGGGGCGCACCACACTTCACCAGCGGCGGCACGGCGAAGAGCAGCGTGCCGAACATGAGTAAGAACAGATACACCTGTGGAAAGAGACGCGGCGAAGGCGGCGTCAGCGACGGAGGCGGGGATGCGCGCGTGGGCACGCGCGCGACCCGCGCGCGGAGCTCGGAGCGCGCGGGGATAATTTCAATTCGATCTCTCGCACCTGATTCTCCTCCGCGGTCAAGTCGAGGCCGCCGCCTAAGAGCCTCCTACCCGGCCCTCTCGCGACGTCCCATCCCGCGGGAGCGTCGATCAGCTCCGCGCTCCAGTACGGATCCATCCCCGCGGCGTCCATCACCACCGCGGCCGCGTCGAGCGCGCGCGGACTGGAACGAGATTCGTTTCGGCGAGTTGGTTTATTCGTGTTCGGGCGCGGGTGCCTTTTAACTTCCTTTCGACGGCGGCGGCGGGCGGCGCGTGCGAGACGAGGTGCGCTAACGCTCTTCCCTAACACGACTACGTGGACGATCGCTATAACGCCGGAGAGCCGCTTGTCCTCACCCGCGGAACCACGGGAACCACCTCCGGCGTTTCGCGACCGCGGCGTCCGCGTCCTTCATCGACCGCCGCGCGTCCGCGATGACCTCGCCGGTGTAGTCCCTCTTTCCTCGCGTCTCCGTCGTCTCCCCGCGCGCCGTCGCCGCTTTCTCGCGCTCGGGGACCAACACAGTTCGCTCGAGCTCGTACCGCGCGTACCCGAGCGGGAGCCCGATCCCCGCGCCGACGGCGAGGCCGAGCGCGGCGCCGCGCAGGCGCGTCGCGATCCCTCCCGGGATCGCGAGCCCGGTCGCCGCCGCGGTGACCGTCCCCGCGAGCGCGGTGTTCCACATGTCCCTCGCGCCGCCGCGCTTGACCTGCGCGCCCATCTCGATCGCGCTGAACACCGCGACGAAGCTCCCCACGCGTAACCCCCCCATCGTCGCCTCGTGCGCGCCGCGCATCCATCGGTGCCGCTTCGCGACGATCGCGCTCATCGGTTCCCCCGCGGCGTTCACGAACGGGTCCGTGCGCGCGGCCTGTATCATCCCGTAAATCATCCCGCCCAAGGTGCCGGTCGCGGTGTTCGACGCCCACTCGCGGAGCTCCTCCGGCGGGGGGGGGACCTCGTCCCCTGGGTTCACCCGGTCGAACGCGCGCTCCATGGTGTGCGGGCGGACGTGCCGTGAAACTTGATCCTTTCATTATTCTCTTCCGAGATTGCGGAAAGGGACGACCGCGCGCCGCCGGTCGCGTCAGAACGACGAAGCGCCCCGCCGCGCGCGCGAATCGATCTCGCCCGAAGATGCCGCCTCCGATGAAGGTTAACCGGGCGATATGCATGACGTGCGGCACGCGCGGGCACAGCGCGGCGAAGTGCCCGCAGCGCATCATGCTTCACGTGCAGCACCGCCTCGGGGGTGCGTACGTTAAACCGGGGGTACCGGCGGACGAAGCCCCGATGCCCGCGTACGTCCCCCGAGAACGCGCGAGCGTGGCCGGGGTGCGCAAGGCCACGTCCCGGATGTTCCAGAGGGCGAAGGAGATCGAGGAGGAGAAGCGCGTCGCGGAGGGGATCGCGCGCGCGCGCGCCGCGGGGGGGATCGCGAAGCCGTCGACGTCCGCGCCTCCGGGGATCGTCGTGAAGCGCAAGGGCGAGAAGGTGTCCCTCGTGCTGCCGGGGGCGGCGGGAACGAGCGCGGGCGAGGCCGGGAAGAAGCGTAAGGTCGCCACGAGCGACGGCGACGACGGCGGCGGCGGCGGCGACGACGACGACGACGGCGGCGGCGGCGGCGGACTCGCCGGGCTCCTCGGCGCGTACGGCAGCGACGACGAGATCGACGAGGACGAGAAGCCGCCGGCGCCGTCGCCGCCGCCGGCGAAGAAGAGACCGAAGCCGCCGGCGCAGAAGATCGACCTCCCCGGGGTCGGCGACTTAGATTTGCCGGACTGGGACGCGATGGAGCGGAAACAGCAGACCGCGACGGCGCTGCGGAGGGAGGCGCTGGATCGGCGAGAGCCGTGTCGAAGCTTCGCCGCGGGGACCTGCCGGATGGGGGACAGGTGCAAGTATAAGCACGTGGGGCCGGCGCCCGCGGCGGTGGACAATCGCGCGCTGTGTAGGAACTTCCAGAACGGGAAATGCTTCATGGGGGACAAGTGCAAGTACAGGCACACGACGACGGAGGAGGAGGTCATCGTGTCCGCGAACGTGGACAATAGACCCGGGAAAAGGTGATCGTTCGTACGCGTAGTCTTGATAATACTCTCAAAACGCGAGCTCGTCCATCACACCCGCCTGGGCCCGGACCCGCCCTTGCGCTTGTTGAAGGCGTTCTTGTTCTTTTTGTAATCGTTCGCGTACTTGACGTTCACCGCGGAAGCTTTGAGGAAGTCGAACCGACGCAACTGGAAATTGCCCGGGGCGGCGCGCTTGAACGGCGCGTCGCCGAAGCTGTACGTCACCGCCTGTTCGTACTTCGGCTCCGACTCGAGCTCCTCGGGGTCCTTCACGAAGTTGAACCGTCGCAGCGTGAAGTTGTCCGTGCGCTTGAACGCGACCGCGACCGGCTCGGTGTAGTTGAAGTTCAACTTGCGCAGGGTGAACGCCTCGCGGGGCGCGCGCTTGAACGCCCCTTTGCTCGCCGCCGCGGTCTTCGCGTTCATCGCATCGCTCCACGCGTCGATCCACAGCTGCGCGCTCGCGGCGTTCGCGACCGCGTCGTCGACCACGGGCGTCTCGTTCACTGTTTTCATCGCGGCAAAGTCGAACCGACGGAGGGTGAAGCCGCCGGAGCGCTCGAACGCTTTCCCGTCCGCCGCCGGTTTCGCCGCCGCCGCCGCCGCGGGCGCCGCTTCTTTCTTGCCCTCGTTGAAGTTAAACTTCCGCATCGTGAACGCCCCGCCGCGCTTCCGCGGGTCCGACGGCGGCGGCGCGACCTCGCCGACCTCGTCGTCGTACGACATCTCCGCCATCTCGAGCTCCAACGTCCGCACCTTCCCTTTCATCGTCGACTCGAGCGCGCGAATCTTTTTCCTGAACGCCTCCGCCTTCGCCTCCATCGCGTCCGCCTCCGCCTCGAGCGCCTTCGCCCTCGCTTCCGCGCCCTCGAGCTCGCTCACGTCAACCATGTCCGCGATCATGATCTCCAACTCGCGGACGCGGGACAGCAGCGTGTCCCTCGCCCCCTCCGCGGCGTCCAGCTCCTCGACGTCCGCCATCTCCGCAACCGTCGCCTCCAAGGCTCGAATCTTGGACTCCAACTCGTGCGCTTCCTCGGGGGTCAACATCTCCGCCATCATCGCCTCGAGCTCTCTCACGCGCTTCAGGTCCTTCATCATCGGCAGCGGCGGCGGCGTCGCGCCGATGTTGGCAAACTTGGACAGCTGGCGCTTGAGCTGATCCGCCTCAGACGCGGCCGCCGCCGCCGCGGCTTCCGCCGCCGCCAGCTTCTCCGCGCGCTCCGCCGCGAGCGCGGTGAGCGTCTCGATCGTCCTCTTCGCCGTCGCGAACTCCTCGCCCGCGGCGCCGTCGGCGGCGCCGTGCGCGAGTCCGCCCTCCGCCTCCGCGAGGTCGACTTCGAGCGCGCGAATCTTCGCGAGGAGCGCGTTTTTGTTCTCCTTCGCGCGCGTCTCCGCGACCGCGAGCGCGCTCTTCGCGGCGGCCGCCTCCGTCTTCAGCGCTCGGAGCTCTTCCGCGGCGTCGCCGGCGCCGGCGCCGGCGCGCGCCAACGCGGCCACCTCCTCCGCCGCGGTCGCGAGCGCGTCGTTTAACGTTCGCAGTTCCTCCGCCTCGAGCTCGAGATCCTCTGCGCGCGCGACCGCCTCCGCGAGCTCCGTGGCGTCCTCGAGGAGCTCCATCATCGCGTCCTCGTTCTCCGCGGTGAGCTCCGCGACCTTCTCGCGCAGGCGCTCGTTCTCGCTCTCCGCCTCCGCGAGCTTCGCTTCGAGCTCGGAGGAGGAGGAGGAGGAGGATCCGCGCGAGATCGCCTCCGCGGCGGCCGCTTCGGTCTCCTCCTCGTCCTCAGCGGCGTCCGCGTCCTCGCGCGACACCCTCGCGGCGCGCACGAGCGCGAGGAGGTCTTCTATCTTATCGTCCGCGCCGTCGCTCGAGGACGCGCGGCATCGGATCGACGAGCGCGCGGCGTTCGCGCCAGCGCGGAGACGTCTCGTCCCGGGAATTCGTGTCCGTTGGGACGAATCGGCGAGGCGAGGCGCCGCGCGACGATTCGCGCGCGCCGCGCGCGCGACGCGACCGCGGGTGGACGCGACCGCGCCTCTCGCGACGGCCGCGGGGGCGACGCTCGTCGTCGCCATGTTCGCTCGTCCGACGCGTGCGTGAGCGCGACGAAGTGACCCGCCTCGAGCCGGCGGCCAGCGCTACGAGTCGCGAACGGATCGCGTCGACCGACCGCGAAAAAAACCAGAAAAAAACCGGCAGTTTGAAATGATCGATGTCGCTCGGACGCCACAACGACCGCGCTCCACTCGCGCACGCACAGGACCGGACTCGCGCCCGTCGAGCTCCGCGCGCGCACCGCGAGGTAGGTCTTCTTCGCAGACGCGCCGCTCGCACGATGTCCCCTCCCGAGTGGAACTTCGGACACGTCGCGGGTCTGTGCGACGTCGCGTTCCTCGGATCCGGCGACGAAACACGGCTCGTGACCTGCGGCGCGGACAACACCGTCGCGCTTCGCGACCCGAAGACCGGGGACGTCGAGGACTCGTTCGAGGACCACGACGACGCGGTGAACGTCCTCGCGGTGCACCCCGACGGCGCGAAGTTCGCGACCGGGAGCGACGACAACTGCGTGAAGCTCTTCTCGTTCACGACGTCCAAGCGCGAGTTTGAATCGAACGTCACGCGGTTCACGCTCCCCGTGCGCGCGCTCGCGTTCTCGAACGACGGCGCGCTCCTCGCCGCGGGCGGGGAGGACAGCACGATCAAGGTGATAAACATGGCGGACAACTCCGTGCACCTGGAGCTCCCGACGAACGCGAAGTGCGTCAAGTCCATCGCGTTCGACCCGATCGGCGAGTACGTCGCCGCCGTCGACGACACCGGCGTGCTCACGGTGTGGGCGCTGAAGGAGATCAAAGCCGGGTCCGAGGATAACGTCCAGGACGACGACGACGACGACGACGACGGGAACGACGGATCCAACGCCACGATCGAGGCTGGAGAGCGCGTGCTGTGCGCGACGACCGCGCCGACGACGGAGGCGGATTCCCCGCGCGTCAACGGCGTCTCGTGGCGCCCCGACGGCGCCGTCGTCGCGGTGCCCGGGCGCGAGAACGACGTCACCTTCTTCGCGCGCGGGTCGTGGCGCGAGCTCGAGGACCACCGACTGTTCGAGGACGCGAAAGGACACGCCGGCGCCGTCGCGACGTGCCGCTGGTCCCCGAACGGGAAGTACCTCCTCACGACGGGCGCGGACAACGCCGCCGTCGTCTGGGACGTCGGCGCCAAGTCCGTCGTCTCGCGCATCGAGTGCGAGTCCATCGTGTGCGGCGCGTACTGGCGCAAGGAAGGGAACGCGGTCGCGCTCGCGGGGTCGGACGGGCAGTGGTGCGTGTGGAACGACGTCGTCGCGGCGTCGCTCCCGTCGCCCACCGCCGTCGTCGACGCGAGCGAGCTGGACTTCTTCGTCGCGGGCGCGAAGAAGGACGACGTCGCGAACGCCGCCGAGGGCGGCGACGTCGCGGGCGCGCTCGAGGACGACGACGACGAGGAAGGCCTCGGGGACATGGACGAGGAGGAGTACTACCTCGCGCAGGAGCGACGACGGAAGATGAAGCGGAAGATGGCGGGGAAGTTTGGCGGCGCGTTCGGCGGCGCCGCCGCCGCGCCGACGCCGCAGGCGCCGTTCCAAGTCGGCGCGTGCGACGCCGCGAAGAAGCCCAAGGACGGGGAGAAAGAGAACCGCCGGTTCCTGTGCTACAACATGATGGGCACGGTCGTCACCACGGGCGAGCCCGGGGGCGACTTCAACTCTGTCGAGATGTCCTTCCACGACACGTCGCGCGCGGGACGCGCGCCGACGATCACGGACTACCACGGCTACTCCATCGGCACGCTCGGGGAGAAAGGGTGCGCGCTCGCGTCCCCGGGGAAGCCCGGCGGCGGCGCGAGCACGGTGTTCTACCGCCCGTACGAGTCATGGGCGCACGCGTCCGAGTGGAGGGTCACCATCCCCGCGGGCGAAGACGCGGTCTCGGTCGCCGCGGGGAACAACTGGGTCGCCGCGGTGACGTCCAAGCGTAACCTCCGTCTCTTCTCGCACGCGGGCGCGCAGAGGCAGATCGTCACCCTGGAAGGCGCGCCGGTGACGTGCGTCGGGAAGGGCGACTCCCTCGTCGTGACCTGGCACGCCGCCGCGCCCGCGCTCGTCCCCGGCGCCGACGGCCGACTGGAAGTCGAGCAGAGGATCGAGTTCGCGGAGTACGACGTCGCGGACGGCGGGAAGATCTTATCCCGAGGGCGCGTTCCGGTGCCTCCCGGGCACACGCTCACGTGGCTCGGGCACTCCGAGGACGACAACCGCGCGCTGTGCTTCGGCGCGTCCGACGGCACCGTCCGCGTGCGCGTCCCCGATTTCGGCGGGTCCTGGTCGCAGGTGTTCTCCTCGATGGACGCGCGCCAGTCCGAGGGCGAGCACCACTGGGTCGTCGCGGTCGCGACTTCGGACAACGCGTACTCGTCGTCCGCGCTGTACTGCGTCGTGTGCCGGGACGCGAGCGGCCCGGGGGTGTACCCCAAGCCGGTGCAGACGCTCATGCCCCTCGGCGCCCCCGTGGCGCTCCCGGAGAACAGCTCCGGGGACCTCGAGGACGCCGCCGCCAAGGCGCAGATCGCGGTCGCGCTCGCGTCCGCGGCGGCCGCGCGCGACGGCGACGGCGACGGCGACGGCGACGGCGCGCTCGGCGCGGCGCGAGCGGCCGCGGACAAGGCGTCGCTGCGGTTGTTCCACGCCGCGTGCAAGGGCGAGCGACCGGCGCGCGCGGCGGACATCGCGTCGTCGCTGCACCTGAGCAACTCGCTCCACGGCGCGCTGAAGCTCGCGAACGCGATGCAACAGCGCGTCCTCGCGGAGAGGATCACGAACCTGATCGAGGCGTCCATGGCGGCCGCGGCGGCGGCGGCGAACGCGTACGCGTACGCCTCCGAGCCGTCCGCGCTCGAGACCCCGGGGCAGTTCGCGCAGCAGCACTACAGTCAGCCGGCGTCGTACGCGCCGTCGCAGCCGACGCAGCCGTCGCAGGCGGCGCCCGTCGAGGACGCGAATCCGCTCGGGAGGCGGAAGTCCGTCGCGCCGGCGAACGAGAACGAGACGCCGACCGCGGTGGGCGCGAAGCACAAGGCTGGCTACGAGGCGACGGAGAAGCCCGCGGCGAAGAAGGGGAAGACGGCGAACCCGTTCGCGCGGCGCTGAGGACGCGTCGAGCGGATCGGATTCGGATCGGATCGGGACGGGACGGACCATCGCGGAACGCGCGGGTGGAGGGGGGGTTGGGTTACGTTAAAGCGCACGCGCGGGGCGACGACGTCGTGATTGTGACATCATACATCATGATACAACCATCCGTTTCTACATCCATCTGTTTCTACCCCCGCAACCCCACCTCCTCGTCTATTTACTCCGCGCTCTCCGCCTCCTTCGCCTCCTGCTCCGCCTTCGCCTCCGCGAACGAGTTCTTCTTCGCCGCGGACACCTTCGGCATGATCGAGTCCGGGGACTGCTCCTTCTCGTCGTACTTGTTATCCAGGTAGTACTCGATCCCGAGCCAGTATCCCGCGGTGAGGACGATGAACTGCCAGACCTGGATGTCCCCGAACACCGGGTCTGTGATCGACAGCGCCGCGGCGGGGAACGGGGCCACGATCGACGCGATCGAGCTCGCCGCGACGCCGGAGAGGACCGTCTTCGCGGCGTCCTTCCACTCGACGGACTCTGCGGAAGACGCGGAAGATCTCGATTTAACCCCCGCCGGGGTCTTCGTCGCGGCCGCGCGGACCGCGGTGCGCGCCGCGCGGGGTTTGCACGTCACGCGCGCGCGGGTCGTGAACGTCGCGGAAGCGCTGAGCATGGCGGCCATGTCGGACGTCAACGCGTGTCGCGCCTTGGTGCGATGGGAACTGCGATGCGACGAGAGCGCTGCTGATACTGTCCCCGCAGCGAGATCTCACCTGCTCGCGCTGTGATTGGTCCGGCGTTTTCTGGGCGTTTTCGTATGATGCCGCGGTGAGATTCGTACGTACTCGCCGCGTACTCGGCAGAAAACCGTTGACGTTCGAAAATTCACGAGACGCCGCCGACAGCTCAGTCCTCCGCGCGCGCTGCGACTCGACGCCGCCGTCTCCGACGCGATGTCGCACGGCAGCACGCACCACGTCGAGCTCACGCGCGTGAACCGCACGCTGAAGGAGTGGGAGAAGTCGCAGACGATGAAGTCTCACGAGATGCGGATAAAGACCGCGAAGTCGTCGTTGTCCGAGGTGTTCAGCGCCCGAGACGCGCGCGCTCGCGGACGCTCGCCGTCGCGCTCGCCGCTCCCCGCGACGCCTTCGCCGGGAGAGGGCGCGGTCCCGACGCGCCGCCAGCGCGCGGCGGCGTCGCGCGCGGCGCCTTTATCCCCGGCGAAGGACTTCCTCGCGTTCGCGACGAATCTGAGACCGAACGAGAACGCCGCCGCGGCCGCCGCGCGCTCGCCGATGACGCCCGCGTCGCGCGGCGCTCTGAACGTCGCCGCGCGCGGCGGCGGCGGCGCCGTCGGCGCGCGAATCAACTCGCGATACGCCGCGTCGCCGAGCCCGAGCGCGCCCGCGGAGCCGGAGCCGTTCCATCGCGTGCGGACGTCCCCGGACGTCGCCGCGGGCGCGCTGCAACGACGCGCGCCCGGGAGCGCGCCCTCGCCGGAGTTCGCGGCGGCGTCCTCGTCCGGCGGCGCGCGACCGAGCAGCGGACGGTCCGTCGCCGCCTTCTTGAAGCGCAAGCAAGCGAGAGACGAGCGCGCGAGACGGTTACGCGAGGAGGAAGGGACGGCGACGGCGGCGACAGCGGCGACGGCGGCGACAGCGGCGACGGCGGCGACAGCGGCGACCGCGGACGACGCCGCCGCCGGTCTCGAGACCGCGGTCGTCCTGGACACGACCGCGGACGAGAGCGTCGTCGGCGTCGCGAACGCGATCTCCAAGGCGCTCTCCCCGAGCTCGCTGTCGCCCGTGCAGAGCGCCGCGCGGGCGGTGTTCGGTCGCCTCCACTACGTCCGAGACGACGAGGAAGACGACGACGAGGAAGACGACGACCAGGGCGTGTCGAAGATGGCTAGCCTCCTGGACGGCGTCTCGGAAGAGGAGGAGGAGGAGGAGGAGGAGGAGGAGGAGGAGGAGGATCCCGTAGTGGACGACGACGACGCGGGAGACGCGCCCCCCCTGTCGAGCGTCCTCCCGACGCCGGCGACGACGCCGAGCCCGCTCAAGTCGTTCGCCGCGGCGTCCTCGCTCGCGGAGCTCCGGCACGCGCCGCCGCCATCGACGCTCGCCGGGGTCGCGTCCTCGCACTCCGGGCGGTACGCGCCGTCGACGCTGCGCGGCGAGGATGTCGACCTGGACTCGACCGCGATCGACGTGGACGACGACGCGGGCGGCGGCGGCGGCGGCGGCGGCGGCGGGGACGTCGAGGCATACAGCGGCGAGGGCGAGGAGTTGTTCGGCGTGGACGACGAGGACCTGTCGCCGTTTAAGATGCCGTCGCCGAGCGTCTTGAAACAGGCTGCGGCGGCGCACGCGAGGAGCATGAGCCTCACGAAGAGCGGGCTGGTCGCCGCGCTGAACGCGGAGGCTGCGGAGGCGGGCGTCGCGCGCGACGAGGCGTCGGACGACGACGACGAGGCGTCGGACGATGACGACGAGGAGGACGACGACGGACGCGTCGCGTCGAAGGGCGCCGCGGGGCTGCGCCGAGGAGGACGCGGGTAGAGAACACTAGCAAACGGCGCCGAGCGCCGACTCGATGAGATCGTAATAGAAGACAGAGGCGAGATGCCGCAGAGCTTCGACGGGCGACCGCCGCGGCGGCTCTCGGCGAGAAAGTATTACCTTCGTAACTGATTCGGCTGGACGCGTTCAGAGACTCGCGTTCAGTTTGAAACTCAAAAAGCAGCAGAACCCAGCGCACCAACGACCACAACGGCACGCGCCGACATCCCTCGCGGCGTCGAACGGACCGGACCGATCGATGTTCGTCGCGACGACGTCCGCGCTCGTCGCGCGCGCGAACGTCGCGGTCGATCGCCGGGTCCGTCTCCGCGCGAGCGATTCCCCGCGTCTCGCCGCGCGCCCCCGCGCGTCCCCGCGCGTCGCCGCCGCCTCACGCGCTTCCGCGATCGCGGTGCCAACCGCGTCGACGGCGGCGGCGGCGGCCGCGCGCGCGTCCGGCCGCGGCGTCCCGACGCCGCGCGGACGCGCCGGCCTCCTCCGCGCGTCCGACCCGTCCGACGCGGACGCGGAGAGCGCGCCGCTCGCGTCGTCCGCGACGGCGTCGACGGATGGCGACGTCAAGGGCGTGTGGTACGGCCGCGGGCTGCTCCTGTTCGTCGCCGCGGCGTACGGCACGCTGTCCGTCGCGTTCAAGTACGTGTACGGGCTCCCGGGGCCGCCGTCCGCGGGGACGATCGGCGCGGTGCGAGGCGTGTTCGCCGCGCTGTGCTTCGTCCCGATGCTGCTGAACGAGAGCAAGCGCAAGGCCGCGGCGGCGGGCGCGGGCGCGAGCACACAGGGAGGGGAGAAAAAGTGGATGGGGGGGAAAAGTTTTTGGCTCGCCGCCGTTGAGCTCGCGTTTTGGAACCTCGCCGCGCAGGGCGCGTGCAACATCGCGCTGCTGTTCACGGACGCCACGCGCGTGAGCTTCCTGACGCAAGCCTCGATCGCGTTCACGCCCGTCTTGGTGTCCATGGACGGCGAGAAGGTCGCGAGGGTGACGTGGGCCGGGTGCGCGCTCGCCATCGTCGGCGTCGTCCTCCTCGGGTTCGACGGCGGCGGCGCCGTGGCGGAGGCGGCGACTTCCGCGGCGGTCGGCCTCAACGTCGGCGACGTCATCGCGCTCTTCGGCGCGGCGTCGTACTCGATGTACATCTTCCGCATCAGCACGTTCGGGAGGAAGGGGATGCCCGGGAACTTGACCCAGGCGCGTTCTATACACTGGTCCCCATACGACCGCGTTGGCGTGGTGAACGCCGATCCTTAAGGACTTCGCCCGGCGTCTCTCTCCGCCCACCCCCCGCTTTCAATCCCCGACCGCGATGCCTTTCAACTCCACCTGACGCCTTTCAATTCCACCCCGATGCCCGATCCCAGGCGTGGAAGACGGTGATCCTCGCGTTTTTGTACTGTCTCTGGTTCGGCGCGGACTTCGCGCGGTGGTGGGCCGCCCCCGCGGGCGTCGTCGCCGCGCCGTGGGCGGGGTGGGCGAACCCCGTCGCGTGGGCGGTGTTGCTGTTCACCGCGGTCGTCCCCGGGTATCTCGCGGACGTGTGCCAGGCGAAGGGGCAGGAGAGCGTGAGCGCGAGCGAGTCGCAGGTGTTGCTGGCGGGCGAGCCGTTATTCGCCGCGGTGTTCGGCGCGGCGCTGCTGGGGGAGTCGCTGGGGACGTGGGGGTACGTCGGCGGCGCCGGGCTCGTCGCGGGGGCGATACTCGCGGGGTTGGACGACGGGTCCGGGTCCGGGGAGGAGAAGAGCGCGTGACGACGCTCTCGCGTTGCTAGTTGCGTCTTGTTTGCTTATACTCGTACTCGTTAAAAAAAAAAATTGTGACGAGCTCGCGACAATGATAGGACGAGATCTGATCGACCGCGACGTCGTCCTCTCACTGCGCGGATCGCGCGGCCATGGTCGCGCCGATGTACGAGCCGCGCAACCTCGCGCGGCTCGTGAAATGGCTCGTCGCGCTCGTGTACAGCGTGGTCATCTCTTCCAGGGTGTTTCAGAAGGGCTCGCCCCGCGCCATCCCCGACGACGTCCCGGGGTGGCTCCGAGGCGCGTCCCCGTCGCGGTGCCGACCTCGCTCGTCCGTCCGTCCGTCCCCGCCCCCCGCTCACCCCTCCCCGTCCCCCGTCCACTCCGCGCAGACGGCGACGACGAGGAGCGCGATCCGCGCCCCGCGGCGCTCGTGACCGGCGCGAGCTCCGGGATCGGACGCGCGACCGCGCGCGCGCTCGCGTCGCGCGGCTTCCACGTCCTCGTGTCGTGCCGACGCGCGTCCGACGCGCGCGCGGTCGCGGCGGAGATCGTCGCGCTCGTCGGGGACGACGCGAGGGCGACCGCGATGCCGGGGATGGACCTCGCGGAGCTCAAGGAGATCAACGCGACCGCGGAGGCGTGCGCGAGCGAGAAGCTGAACCTGAACCTCCGCGTCGTCGCGTGCTGCGCGGGCGTCATGGCGTGCGAGCATCGCGTCGTGGGGAGAGGGAAGGACGCGCGCGAGACCGACGCGGCGGTGAACGCGATCGGAACGTCGCGGCTGATCTCCGCGATACTGCACTCGAGGAGCGAGAAGAGGTATCATCACCGCGAGCACCTCAGGGTCGTGTGCGTCGGGTCGTTCACGCACCGCGCGGTGACGAGAGAGGAGTTCGTCGAGTGGCTCGACCGGACGAACGCAACGTCGTCGTCGACGGCGACGACGTCGACGACGCGTCCCCCGACCGCGTTCACCCCCGCGGGGGCGTACGCGTGCTCGAAGCTCGCGGCGACGATGCGCGCGTTCGTGACGCACGCGTCCTGGTCCCCGAGCGCGTGCTCCGTCTCCGTCGTCGTCGCGGACCCGGGTTTAGTGGACACGCGCATCAATCGCGAGTGGCCTCCGTCGTTGCGCCGGTTCTACGTCTTCGTCGCGCGTCTCCTCGGTCTGTTGTCCTCGCCGTCGCAGGGCGCCGACGCGGTGCTTCACGCGTGCTTCGTTCCCCCGAGCGCGCTCGGCGACGTCGCGGGGTACGTCTACGGCGCGAACGGCGCGAGGGTGCGACCGTCGACGCTCGCGACGGACGACGCGAAGCTCCGCGACAGAGTCTGCGCGATGACGTTCGCGCCGCCGCCCAGCGGGGGGTACGCGGCGTGGTGACGCGAGCGCGGTAGTAGTAGGCGTGTTATTTAGACTAGATAGATAAGATAGATAGACTATCGTACCGTGCGCAGCGCGCGAATAGCACGCATGCCGCGCGCCTACCCTCGAGGGAACGACGCCACCTTCGCCGGCGTCGGACGCGCGAACGCGTCCGCCGCGTCCGAAGACCGCTCGCCGCCGCCGAGCTGCCCTACGCCGTCGTCGCCCCACGCGTACACGTCGCCCTCGCGCGTCAACACCACGGTGTGCTCCCTCCCCGCGGCGACGCTCGACGCGCTCATCGGCAGACCGCGCACGCGCGTCGGCGGCGTCCATCCGCCCGCGTTCGCGCCTTGATGACCCGCGTCGCCGACGCCGAGCCCGCCGCCGAAGACGACGACGGCGCCGCGCGCCGTCGTCAGCGCCGTGTGCTTGCCCCCGGCGGCGGCGGCGACGACGAAGGTCCGAGAGCATCCTCGCCGCCGCGCGCGACGACGCGCGCCGGGGCCACCCGGCGACGTCGTCGGTCCCGGCGCGTCGAACGACGCGTCGCCGTCCTGCGCGAAGAGCAGCTCTTCGTCGTCGAGATCGAGATCGTCGTCGTCGAAGCCGTCGACGTCGTCGACGTCGCTCCCGCTCTCGACCGCGTCTTCCAAATCCACGGGCGCGGGCCACGGGCGCGGCGTCTGCGACGGGCCGTCCTCCGTGCCGAGCTGCGCGTGCGCGTTGCCGCCCCACGTGTGCGCGACGCCGTCCGCGGTGACCGCGACCGCGTGGCGCGCGCCGAAGGACACGGCGACGACGCGCGCGCCGGGGTCGTCGTCGTCGACGGATGTCCCCCCGGACAGCGCCGAATCCGCGCTCGCGCGCAGAAAATCACGCGGGTCGTTCCGGGCGATGTCCCACCCCCCTCCTCGCCTCCGCCTCGCCTCCGCCTCCTCCTCCGCGTCGCGTTCCTCGTCCGAATCGTCCGTGTCGCTCATCGCGCCGGGGAACCGCGTCGCGTCGTTCATTCGCGCCGCGCGCCTCCCGCCGCCCCCCCCGAACGACGCGACGCGACACGGCGCGTCGCGGTCCAAGTCGTCCCCGAGCCCGAGCATCGAGCTGCGTGGGTGAAGCGATCGGTCAGTCGAACGTCTTACCGGTCAAACGTTGAAAGGGAAGCGCGGGTGAAGAGTGGCGACGGGAAAAGTCCTTAAGGAACGGCGTGCACCACGCGAACGGGGTCGTATGGAAAGCAGTCTCACCTCCGGTTATCGCCCCACGTGAACAACGCCCCGCTCGACGTGAACGCCGCGCTCGCGTGCGCGCCCGCGGCGACGCCTATCACGACGTGCCCGGCGAGGTCTCGCACCCTGCGCGGCCTCGTCCACTGCCTTTTCTCCTCCGCGCGTCGCGCGGCGGCGTCTCGCTCGTCGCAATCGCCGCCGCTCCACGAGAGCGGCGACGCGCACCGCGGCGACCCCGCGCCGGGGGAGCCGTACCCTCCGCCCGCGCCGCCGCTTCCGCCGCGCCGCCGCCGCCGTTGCATCGACGCGGAGAGGACCCCGGGGGATACCCCGGGGGACCCGCCGAGCGCGAGCCTCGCGAGCGCGACGCTCTCTCGGACGACGCCGCGGCCGAGTTGCCCCGCGGCGTCGCCTCCCCACGTGTACGTCACGCCGGTGGACGTGCACGCGATGACGTGGAGGCGTCCTATGGACATGGACACGACGCGCTCGCCGTCGAACGCGCCGCGTTTGGGTATGCGCGTGAGGCGCGCGAGGGAGATGTCGATCCCGCCCCCGGGGATGTCCCCCCCCGGGGAGTACTGGGATCCCGCTCCCGCTCCCGCTCCCGCCGCCGCGTCCCGCGCCGCCGGCGACGGCGGCGGTCGGCTCGCGCCTCCTCCGGGTCCTGGCGCGCCGCCGCCGCCGCTTCTGTGTGCGACCCCCGCGGCGTTGCGTCGCACGACGAGCGGCGCGGAGGACTCTCCCGCGGCGGCGTTGAACGCGTACCCGCACGCGGCGGTCAGGACCCGTCCGTCGTCGCCGCCGCCGCCGCCCCCGCCGCCGCCGCCGCCGTCGTCGTCGTCGTCGTCGTCCCAGCCCCCGTCATCGACGACCGGTCCCCACACGTGCAGCCGCCCGTCCCTCGCCACGACCGCGGTCGCGTCCTCCGCGGCGCAGATCATGGGCAGCCCGATCTCGGCGGAGCGCTCGGCGAATCGCATCAGGGACAGCCACGACTCGCGCGCGCGAGGCGCGCCCATCCACGGCGCGCGGCGTCCGACGCGCTCCTTCGCCGCGGCGTCCACGAGCGTGAGGCCGCGATGGTCGCACGAGCTCGACCCGGGGTCGAGCCCGAACGCGCGGCAGGTCGCGCTCAGGCTCGCGAGGTCGCGCGCGCTGAGGCGCGCGAGTATCTGCAGCGTCACGTGCGCGGGGAGCTCCGTCAGCGGCGCGGCGGGTGCGTCGTCCGTCGACGACATCGCTTTTGATGAGAGACGACGACGACGCGGACGAGATTCAAAACGCGTCGCGTCCTCCCTCCCCGAGCGTCTAGCGCGCCATGTCGCGCTCGCGGTCGCGCGCGAGGAACGGCGGGACGAAGACGACGCGCGATGAGAGAGGCGACGACGCGACGGGATGCGCGCGCGCGTGTGCCTCGCGCGCGCGACGATACCTAACCCGAAACCGCGTTGAAGCGTCGGAGAAACGCATTTTCTCAGCATTTTCTCGTCCGGGCCGAGAAAAGCCAGCCCAGGTTTCCACGGCCACAACGTGGGGTACTGACCAGGGAAGGCGCGTTCTCGAAGCTTCCGAACGAAACGGGGGACGACGACGAAAGCAACAACGACGACGAGCGCGCGCGCGTCATACCAGCACGCGCCGCGCACGCAGCTCACGACAGCACCCGCCTCCTCGCCGCTCCGCTCACGAAAAAATGGCCCTCGCTCCTCTCTCCACCGACTCCCACTTCCGCGACGCGTTCCGCGAGACCGACGACGTGCGCGCGCGCCCGCGCCCCGCTCTCTCTCGCGCGCGCCGCCGCCGCCGCCGCCGTTCTGAAAAAGCAACAACGACGCGCGCTGACGCCCCCCTCTCCCCTCCCCCGCCCCGCAGTTCTTCTCGCACTTCCTCGGAGGCACGCCCTTCGGAGGCGTCGGAGGCGCGCTTATGAACCCTCGCGCGCCGCGCGGGGATCTCAGCAGCGTCTTCGCGCCCACGCGCGAGGGGACGGCGATCAACCGCTTCATCCCCGTGGACGTCACGGCGCGTTTTTCTTCTCTCGTCGTCGATTCCTTTCCCCGGCCAATCACCGCGCGCGATACGACACTCGTATCGACGCGAACTTTTTCTTTTTTTCCAAACGCGTCGCCGAACGCGGCGACGACGACGACTGACTCTCGCGCACGACCGCAGGAGACCGACAACGCGTACCAGCTCAAGGCGGACGTCCCCGGGGTGAAGAAGGAAGAAATCACCCTCGAGGTGGACGGCAACGTCATCCGCATCGGCACGAAGCGCGAGTCCAAGGAGAGCGAAGAAGAGGAGTCCCCCGACAAGCGGTGGCACCGGAGCGAACGCCGGGAGTATTCCGAGTTCCAACAGCGCGCGCTTCGGATGCCCGAGAACACGGACTTCAGCTCGCTTCAGGCGACGTACGATAACGGGACGCTGTGCCTGGACGTGAAGAAGAAGCACGACTCGAAGGACCAGAAGAAGAAGATCGCGATCAAGTGAGGAAGCGACGAGGACGACGACGACGACGACGACGACGACGCGGCGGCGCCGCCGAAGAAGCGGCGACGCGCGTCATGGCGACGATGAGCGCGAACTGAAACGGCGACCGACCGAACGAACGCGCCAGAAGAACACGAGACGAGCGACGGTTCCGCGAACCGCACGAGTAGAGCGTCCGAGACGCGCGAGCGACACCGCACGACTAGTGCTGCGAGTTGAACGACGAGAAAAGAGTACGAACGAGCCGCGCTCCTGCAATCGCCCAGCCCGCGCGTGCAAAAAATGGATCGATGCGACCGACCGCTGCGTATTCTATACAAGTTGCGCTATTCGATCAGACTAAAAAACCATAGAGTACGAGTACGCAAAATTTCGTATGGAATCTCCCGACCGCTCTTCATCGCCTTAACTCGCGCGTCGCTACCCTCTTTGACGCGCGCCTAGACGCCGTGTGTAGCAGGAGGCTGGAAAAATGGTGCGCGTGATCCTCGCGAGGACCTCCCCGCGCGTGCATTCGGGGTCTCGGGACGACGTCGTCGCGGCCACGACGGCGGTCTCGGCCGTCGTTCCGGATCCCGCGCGCGCTGCCGGTTTCTAGGGCTTTTCACGCTCGTCGCGAGCGCACCGGCATCCGCTGACGCCCTCCGCCCCCATCCTCGCGCTTCCATCCCAGGTGAACATTCCCAAAGCGAAGAAGACTTTCTGCAAGAAGTGCAAGAAGCACGCGCCTCACAAGGTGACGCAGTACAAGACTGGCAAGGCCAGCCTTTACGCGCAGGGTGCGTGCCGTTCGGCTTTTCATCATCTTCATCCCGCGTCGCGCCATCGTCCCCGGAGACGCGCCTCGAGAGCTCTTCCGCGAACGTTCGCTGACCTTCTCCCCCCATCTCGTGCAGGTAAGAGGCGTTACGACCGCAAGCAGAGTGGCTTCGGTGGTCAGACCAAGCCCGTGTTCCACAAGAAGGTGCGCGTCCCGCCCGTCGTCGCGGAAACGTCGTCGCGCGTGTTTTAGGGTTACGCGGTGAAGGGGGCGGACCACGCGATGCGTCGCGCCGCAGCCGCGTCCTCCCGCGCTTCAGCGTCGCCGTGAATACCCCCGCGAACGCTTCCTGACCACCCCGCCCCTCCTCGCGACCAAAACAAACAGGCTAAGACCACGAAGAAGATCGTGCTCATGCTTCAGTGTAACACGTGCAAGTCGCGTTGCATGCACCCGATCAAGCGGTGCAAGCATTTCGAGATCGGCGGCGACAAGAAGTCCAAGGGCGGGCTGTTCCAGTAAGCGCGCGCGCACTGGGGGGGGGTTCGGTGTGGCAACTGCGGCGGTTCGTTCTCGAGTGCGCTTAGGAGCGCGGGTCGACCTTACGCGACGACGGTCCTCGGAGGAGCGAACAGAACGCGGGCGCCAAACTTCGGTTGTAATCTGCACAGGAGTAGATTCACGCGACGACGCGCGCTTCGATTCGCTTCGTCTCTCTCTATCGCGCGATCACGTAACAAACGACGGGGCTAAGGTATCGTCGAGCTAAGTAGTGAGCGGCGAGACGCGCGGCGTCCGGCAGTCGTCGCGAAATTCATCCATCTTTCCCTCCCTCGCTCCCCGCGTCACCGGGGTTCGTCCGCGAACTCGCTCATGGGCATCTTCACGATTGCGTTCACGTGCGGCCGCCCGCCTTCGGCTCTGCACACGTACACGTGGACGTCGTCCGCGCCGCCGTTCGGGTCCACGCAATGGATCATGACCTCTATCTTGTACGTGTACCCCGGGAGCAGGACCGGGCACCTGTGGATCGGTTTCGGGATCTTGTACACCTCGGAGCTCTGCACGAGCACCGGGATCTCCATCACCGGCTTCTCTCCGCAGTTTTTCAGCTCGACGTTCAGACGGAACAGCGGGCCGAGCCCTTGTATCGTCGCGTTCAATCGAATGTTCACGCCGTCCTGGCCGCTCGACGACGGCCCGGTGCCGTCCTTCATGACCTTCAAGTACGCCTTCCCGGTCTCGTACCGCAGCCGCATCAGATCCCGCTGAAACACCCGGTGCATGTCAATCGCGTTCAGCCGCTCGCGCTGCGTCTGCTCGACGTACAGCTTCGTCTTCTTCGGCACCGCGAGCGGGATGTCCTGCTCCGCGGGCGGTCCCGCCCGGCTCGACCCCTCGAGCTTCGCCGACCGCGGCATGATCTTCACGCGCACGCTCCCGCCTCTCGTCGTCAGCGCGAGCGCGTTGTCCTCTCGTCCGACGCGTCCGAACCTCATTCCGCGCACGCGGTCGCTCATCGCGCACGTGCTCACCAGACACTTGCCGTTGTACACCCTGAGCTCGTCGTTCCCGAGCGCGACGATGAGGCACCGGGACGTCCGCGCGCGGTCGATGACGAGCTCCTCCATGGCGAGGATGTTCGAGGGCATGTAGATGCTGTGCTCCTTTCGTCCTCTGACGGTGTACGCGTGAACGACGTCGTTCATGCACCCGACGATCATGGACTTGCCGCCGAGGCACAGACCCACGGGCTGGGACTCGAACTCGACGACGACGCCGCTCATCTCGTCGTTCTTGATCGTGTACGCTTTGCCGTCCCTGCACGCGACGACGATTCGATAGTCCACCTCCAAGACGCCCGTCGACGCGACAAACGCGGGCGCGGCGGGCAACTGAAACACGCTTCGCACCGCGGTCCCGGAGCTGTGCAACACGTACAGCTGCCCGGACTCCGTCCCGAAGTACACGCAGTCCGGCGACGCCGCGTCGTCCGAGCGCTTCTTGATCGTCCCGACGCACGTCACCGACGTCTGTTGCGTCAACGGCTCGGGCGCGTTGCCGTACGCGAACGCGTCGCGTCGCGCTTGGACGTCCTCGCCCTCCTCGATCGCGAGCAGATCCAGGGACCGCGACGTGAGCTTCGCGCCCTGGTCGCGCAGCTCGGAGAGCGTCTCGAACGCCTCGACGGGCGCGATCGCGCCGTCGCGGAGGCGCTCCCACGTCACCGTCTCCGCCGCGTCCACCGTCTGGTTCGGCACGGTGAACTTGTAAAACGGCCGGAGGTTACGGTAGATGTAGACGTAACACCCCGCGGCGACCGCGAGCGAGGGCGCCTTCATCGACGCCGGGTTGTTGTGGTCCTCCGCGTAGAACGCCGCGATCCCGACCGGGACCTCGAGCAGAGTGTGTTCGCTCGCGAGCGTCGTGCCGTTCCACGTTTTCAATTTTTTGTCCGCCGTCGCGACGACGAGGCGCCACTCGCCGTCGCCGGCGAGGTCCGCGGACGTCACGCACGGGCTGTACGCGGGCGCGCCCGCCATCGGGTCCTGCGAGAGGAGGAGTTTGTTTGGGGGCAGGAAGGGCGAGGAGAGAAGCGGAGGTCAGCGACGACGATTTCGCGATCGGTCTGACGGTCGGACAGGAGAACGACTCCGGCGGGTTCTTTTCTCGCCGAAGCGACGGAGGACGCGCGCGCGAGGGTCGCGTCGCGTCGCGGAGGACGACGACGGACGACGCACGTTCCACGCGTCCAGCCACAGCGAGTTCGGTCTCTTCTCCTCCGGCGCCGCGGTCGTCGCGCCCGTCTGCTCCGGTCGCGTCGCTCGCGCGCGCGCGAGCGCGGACCGGGGCCCCGTCGGAGGCGCGGGCGCCTGGCGCTCGCCCTCGCGTATCGCCTCCATCGCGCGCGTCGTCGTCCTGTCGTCGTCGTCGTCGTCGTCGTCGTCCGCGCGGTCGAGCGACGCGACCGCCGCGTCCGTCCGGCTCCGGCGAGGAGGAGGAGGTGGAGACGCCGGGCGGGATTCGAAGCCCTCGACGCGCGGCGACGAGCGCGTCCCCTTGCGTTCGAAAGTGGCGAATGATCTGGTCGTCGCGCGCGTTCGTTTGGCCTGCTCGAGAATCGAATCAATCCTTCAGGGTTACGCGCCCTGTCCTCGCGCGCACACTCGGAGGCGCGCGCGAGCGACCCCGCGCGCTTCGACGGAATTCACGCGATGTTCCGCGCACTCGGCGACGGCGCGCGCAAGGCGGCGTCGCCGCTGCAGCGCGCGCTGACCGCCTCGGCGGCGCGGCACCCGACGACGACGCGCCACGGCGGATCGATCGTCGTCGTCCAACTCGCGTCGACGCCGACGGCGTCGTCCGCCTCGTCCGCGGCCGCGGCCGCGCGCGCCGCCCACGCGACGCGCGGACGTCATCGCGTCCGCCCGCTCGCCGCGGACGTCGTCGAAGTCGAGATGCCGCTCATCGCGAACATGATCGTCGAGCGCATCCCGTTCCTCCTGCCGCTCCCGCCCGCGTGGGAGACGGAGTACAACGAGTGGTCGCACGAGCGCGCGCAGCGGTGGCGCAAAGAGCTCCCGAGGGAGATCACGAACCCGAAGAAGGAGTACGAGTCCGAGGACGAGTTGCGACAGATGGAGGCGTTCGTCGCGGCGCCGAGAGAGACGGACGCGGATCGCGCGAACGACGTGCGATCGATGCGACGCAAGTCCGATCAGTTTCTGTTCCTCGTCGTGCAAGACGCGGACACCGGGGTTTGGGGCTTCCCCCGGCGGAAGCACAGCGGGAAAGAGGGGGAGACGATGCGGCAGGTCGCCACCGCCGCGATGGAGGCGTGCATAGGGGACAGCATCGAGACGTACGTCGTCGGGAACGCGCCGATGGGGAAGTTTCCCGAGAAGGCGGCGGCGGCGAAGAGAGAGACGGCGAAGAGAGAGACGGCGGCGGCGGAGGGGGACGGCGGCGGCGACGGCGGCGGCGGCGGCGACGGCGCGGCCGCCGCGCCGGCGACGACCGGGGGGGGGGAGGGGACGAACTATTACCACCGCGCGCAGTGGATCGAGGGGGTTCTGAAGCTCGAGTCGAAGTGCAAGGACTACAAGTGGCTCACGAAGGTGCGCGCGCGGTCGTCGGTGGCTCCGCGCCGCGCGCGCCGTCTGTTTTTTTTTTTTTCCCGCCCAGCCCGCCTGCGTTTTCGTCGCTCGCTCGGGGAGGTCGGTCGCGTTCGTCGGTCTCGTTCGGAGATGACGATATCACGCACAGTATCACTGGTCTTCTTTCCACCGACGCTCAACGAACGGCGCTGAGTGACACTTCACGAGCCTACGGCCGCGATCCGACGAAGACGCGTGCGGCGAACGCGACCGACGGACCTCCCCCCCCGCCCCGACGTCGGCTCGCTCTCCTCCGCCGCCCCCGTGCTCGCGCTGACGCGTCGCGTTCTTCCCCCGCGTCGACTCGCAGGACGAGCTCGGGGATCACTTCAACGAGGAGCACCACGCGTTCCTCAAGGAGATTCTGTGACGCGACGGGAGGACGTACTCGTACTCGTAGACTTAGAAGAGAGTTGCGTTGGCAGCTCGCTTTCAAACCACAAATTAATTTAGGGCCAACTCACATCCGCGACGCCGTCGCGCGCCTCGCGTCGCGGCATATCGCTCGTCTGTCGTCATCACACCACCGGCGGGGTCCACTGCGTCACCCCGGTCACGCTGTTGTGATAGTACGGCCGCCCGAGGTTATCGTAGAACACCCTCCAGTCCGACGCGGGCGCCGCGGCCCCGGGCGCCCCCGGCGCGGCTGGCGCGGCCGCCGCCTTGGCCTCGTCTTCGCCCCCGTCCTTCGCCCCCTCGCCGCCGTCCTTCTCCTTCGCCTTCTCCACCTTCGCGCCCTTGGCTTCTTTCCCGCCGTCGCCGTCGCCGTCGCCGTCCTCCCGCGATCGCTTCTTCTTGCCGTCGCCGTCGCCGTCGCCGTCGCCGTCGCCGTCCTTCGCCTTCGCGGAATCGTCGTCCTCGCCGCCCTTCTTCGAATCCTTCTCCGCGTCGTCGCCGTCGTCGCCGTCGTCGCCGCCGCCCTCGGCCTTTTTCTTCGCCGCCTCCTCTTCCGCGAGGCGCTTCGCGGCGAACGCCTTCGCCTGCGCGGCGAGGTCTTTGTAGTCCGGCTCCTTCGGGAGCGTGGACTCGCCGAGTCCCGTGGACGCGAACGCGCTGGGGCCCCACTTCTGCGCCCAGTTCACGGTCCCGTTCGTGCAGTTCGCCGCCTGGTGGCCCTCGATGCCGCAGATGTTGCACGCGTGGATCGACGATCCCGCGGGCCTTCGAAGCTTGTGGTGCTTCTCCATCGTGCGCGGCGCGGCGTCCTCCTCCGATCGCGCGTCGGATTATGACGACGCCCGGGATTATTGAGAGATCTCGCGCGCGCCGCAGCCGAATCGTTTTTTTCAGCTCGTCGAACGTCGCAGCGTCCGAGGTCACTCCGCGCCGCGGCGAGGGGTCGAGAGCGTCGATGGGCGCGACGCTGTCCTCGTGCGCGATGCGCGCGATGAACCGCCTCAGAGTGAGCGGCGTCTCGATGTGTCGCGTCCTCGGGACGCGCGCGCTCTTCGCGAGCGGCGCCGCGGACGCCGCGGTGCAGACGACCGCGACGCGCGAACGATGGCTCGAGGAGGAGCTCGCGTGGTGCGAGTGCCATCGCCGCGAGAACTTCTTCGCCAAGTCGCTCGGGAGGCACGTGACGTACGACGGCAGCGCGGACGCGTTCGACGCGCGGTATCCCGAGCTGACGCGCGCGCTGACGAGCGAGGCGCGCGACGCCGTCCACGCGGAGCTCGCGAGCGAGCTGATGAGGCGAGAGACGCGATTCGAGGACGCGCGTCGACGCAAGGCGCACATCTCCGCGAACTACGCGCCGCTGCACCGCGAGCTGTTCGACTCCGACTTCGAGACGCGCGAGCGCGAGTTCGTGGACGCGCGGTGGACGGAGCTGGCGCGGACGGCGAAGGAAGCGACGGCGGCGGCGTATGCGGCGGCGCGCGGCGGCGGGAAGGGCGGCGAGGTGGACGCGCGCCGTCGGTTCCTCGACGCGGCGGAACCGCTCGGGACGATCCGCGAGAGCCCGCGCGGGGTGTTCACCTTCCCGGCGCTCACGCCCACCTTATGTCGTCTCCTGCGCGAGGAGCTCGACCACTTCGAACGGAGCGGGATGCCGCGCGCGCGCCCGAACACGATGAACGACGACGGCGTCCTCCTACACGAGCTCGGTCTGTGCGAGAACCTTCTCGACCCGCTGCTTCGCGAGTACATCGCGCCGATGGCGAGGGCGCTGTACCACCCGCGCGCGGTGCCCGGATGCGACACCCTCGACCACCACCGCTCGTTCAGCGTCTCCTACGACGCGACGACGGCGGCGGGGAAGGACGCGGACCTGGCGTACCACTTCGACGACGCGGAGGTCACGATCAACGTGTGCGTCTCGCCGCGCGAAGCCTTCGACGGCGGCGAGCTCCTCTTCGGCGGCGTCGAGGGCGAGGCGGGGTCCTCGCACGCGCGGCGGTGCCCGAGGTTTCACCGCGAGGGCGTCGCGGTGATGCACGCGGGGAAGCACTGCCACGAGGCGATGGCGACGACGGAGGGGCGGCGGACGAATCTGATCGCGTGGTGCAGGAGCTTGGCGAGGCGAGCGGAGACGTGCGGAATGTGCGGCCGCGACAAGCGAACGCCGTACGTCGTCCCGGGACGGCGCGAGGGCGATTAGAAGATGGGAACGCGTCGATGTGCTAGCTAGAATAGGATAGAATAGGATAGGATAGAATAGAATCGCACGGCGCGCGGCGTCCGCGTCGTCACGACGCGTCGTCGCGCTTCCCCTCGCGCTCGTCGCCGCCCGCCGCCTTCAACGCTTCGAGGCGCGCGTTGTTCCGCTTCGCGATCCGTCGTCGCGTCGCCTCCCTCTCGCGGTCGGTCATCTCGTCCCAGTTCGCGATCGACGACAGCGATCCGTCCGCGTTCACGACGACCGGTCCGCGCTCCTCCCCGATCGGCACCGCGACGCCGCTGCCCACGCGCACGACGCGCGTCCCCGCGCCGTCCTCGGGAGTGGGCGCGGGAAGCGCTTCCCCGCCCTTCGCCTCCGTCGCGCGGTCGGGGACGGCGACGTCCGCGCGCGGCGCGCCCTCCGCGCCGCGTGCGACGTCGTCCTCGCGCGCGGTCGACATCGCGGAAGAACGGCGACGACCGCCGCGCCGCGCCGAGATGTGACGACGAGACGCGACGCGATCGACCGACGACGAGTGCGCGCGCGTCATCGAATCAATATCAGTCAATAAACTATGTAGTTCGCGCGCGCCGCTAAGACGCGTTCTTGCGTCGAACAGACGTCATCCCGACGCTGCCCCCCCCCACCCCCCCACCCCCCACCGCGCTCTCCAAGCTCCCGAGCGGCAGTCGCAGCGCCGCGGGCACGATCGCCGCGAGCGCGATCGCGTGGATGGGCACGCCGATGGACGCGCGCGTGGAGTACATCGACGACGCCGCCACCGCGCCGAACCGAGCCACCGCGTTGGCGAGCCCGTGCCCGGTGGCGCGGAACAACGTCGGGTACGCCACGGACGCGAGGATCCAGCTCATCGCGCCGATCGGCGCGGCGGGTATCCGCCCGATCAGCATCATGAATATCAACCCCG